CCGCTTTTAACAGTATTCCAGTCATATCACAGCGTGTCAGCTAATGTGGGAGGAAATCCCCAAGTGATGCAGGTCTCAGACGTTTACCACTTCAGTGAAACCCACGAACATGGGTATGGTGCTGACAAACCTAGAAACATAATTGGGGTGAACAGGGATTCGAACCCACAATCATAGGTTTCTGGTGTGCCCAAGGGACGCAACTCTGCACAGCGAATCGCAGTGCCTTAGACGACTGAGCCACCCATCCCCCCACCTTTCATGTTGAGAAAGTAAAAGAAAAATAGATATATTTTTGTGTGACCTTGCTCTTTAACAAAGTGTAATCACACACTAGTGAGTGATTTGAATAAACTCTGCTGGGTGGCAGCACACTGAGTCAATGAAAACAATCAGCAAGTATTTATTTTATTGGTTTATTGCTTGTCACTTCAAATGACTCACACATTTGTACCAGGGTACATTATTATTCAATTAATGAACACAATAACATTTTACTTTATAATGTACAGAAGTCTTGCTTGCGTTTCTCTGGAATAATATCAACACCAGTTACTATATACAAACAGCCATGGTTCCGACTGTGACAACTTACACGGTGTCTCCATTGTGGAGGAAGGAATCCCACACCTGTAGGGACATCTAAAGAGACCGACCATTTACTGTCCTGAGGGTGGGGTGGAGGTGCTGGGATTTTTAGTTGGATATTTTGTCGGTGACTGTTTAAGTCAAAAACAAACAAAAAATTCTCAGAAAAGAGGAGTTTATATTTTATTTTTAATTGAATATTCTGGAACAAATTATCTTTAAAAACAACACCCAAGCCCCCTTAGAATATCCATGGTTGGTCCCTAGTGTATACCACTCAACTCTAAAGAGGGATGTTCCCATCATTCCATCATCACCAAGGTATCCCTATTGACAGTTGAGTACTATAATGTTGGCAGAAATCAATGCACCTTGAAGTATACAATTAGAGAACCATATTCAAGAAGGATCTGGTTCTAACCCTGTTAGTTTCCTAGCAGCATAAACTAGACTAGGTTGAAGCAACAGTGATGTCCATGAGGATGTTGGTTGATTGGTTGGTAGGTTTGTTGTTTAACACCGCACTCAGCAATATTCCAGCTATCTGACAGCAGTCTGTAAATAATTGAGTCTGGACCAGACAATCCGGAGATTAATATCATGAGGATTGATCCACGCAATTGGGAGCGATGACATGCATCAACCAAGTCATGAGGCCCTAAAATTCAAGGCTTTTCAACAGAGACCCTGAACTTCAAGGCTTTTCAAGAGAGACCCTAAAATTCAAGGCTTTTCAACAGAGACCCTAAAATTCAAGGCTCTTCAAGAGAGACCCTAAAATTCAAGGCTTTTCAAGAAAGACTCTAAAATTCAAGGCTTTTCAAGAAAGACTCTAAAATTCAAGGCTTTTCAAGAGAGACTCTAAAATTCAAGGCTTTTCAAGAAAGACTCTAAAATTCAAGGCTTTTCAAGAGAGACTCTAAAATTCAAGGCTTTTCAAGAGAGACCCTAAAATTCAAGGCTTTTCAAGAAAGACTCTAAAATTCAAGACTTTTCAAGAAAGACTCTAAAATTCAAGGCTTTTCAAGAAAGACTCTAAAATTCAAGACTTTTCAAGAAAGACCCTAAAATTCAAGGCTTTTTCAAGCTGTACAAACTCAGCTTTAACATGATACACACTTCTTATATTACCCATTATTACTATTTCATTGGCTACGGGTGGGCTGCGATTGATTTGTTTATTCCGTTACTCCACACTCAGCATTGTGCGAGCAGCAGCCTGTAAATAATCATTAAGGACCAGATTCTCCTGTGATTGATATCATGAGTAACAGCCCACACCATCCAGTACGTTGACACGCTATCAACCAAGTCACCGAACATGACCACCCCATCCATTAAGTCACCTCTTATGACCAGCATAGGTTGCCAGGGAACATTGATAATTTCGAATCCACACAGAGCTGGGCTGTGATTGGATCATCCGTACTATAGTCAAAAACACCGCCGCCTTCCTGAGTGTAAGAATTAGCCTCTGCATGCTGTTATTCCTAGTGGGATCCCCTGTCTAGGAAGGTAAACAAATGAACTAACCCAAGGTAAAAGTCAATTCTTAATCATACCAGCATCTCAAAGATTAAAAAACACAAACTAGTGTTGACATGATTGCATGTTTGTGATGGTGGAAGGATCAGGCACAACACAGCAACCTAACTACACACAAGATTAATGAAGACTATGACAACTGGTAGTGGAATCTCAGGGATCAAATTGTCTACACAAGTATTTGAATGCAAACATATTTTCTGGTTTGGTGCGGTGCGGTGCGGTGTATGTGGTGTGGTGTGGTGTGGTGTGGTGTGGTGTGGTGTGGTGTGTGGTGTGGTGTGGTGTGGTGTGGTGTGGTGTGGTGTGGTGTGTGGTGTGGTGTGGTGTGGTGTGGTGTGGTGTGGTGTGTGGTGTGTGGTGTGGTGTGGTGTGGTGTGGTGTGGTGTGGTGTGGTGTGGTGTGTGGTGTGGTGTGGTGTGGTGTGAAGTGTGGTGTGGTGTGGTGTCTGGCATGTGGTGTGGCATGGCATGGCGTGGCGTGGCGTGGCTTGGTGTGGTCTGGTGTGGTGTTGTGTAATGTTGTGTAGTTTCAAGTGGTTTAACACCCATCACTCCCCCACTGTTTGGAAGCTAGGGACAGTCATCTCTGAACATGTCTGTGGGGTTCCATTTGCAGACAGAGAAAGGGAGGGGGGGAGGTCTACAAATTAATCCAAATTGAGCCCACAACTATTCTTCATTACTTGCCAAATCATTCTAGGCTTGAGGAGGATTCATGTTTTAATAATCCAGGTTCTCCGAGACGGACTAAGCCATCCCTGCTACATGAAGTACTGAGACAGATGGTGAATGGGAATCAAATCAATACGACACAGGTGACATGGTGACAGCTGTCACTCCAACAGTGAATAAGTCGGCATAACAGTGAATGAGTTCGGTTTAATGTCACTTTAAACAGTATTCCAGTTACACCAAAGCATGTCTTCTTAATGTAGGACGAAAACCCGAGTGACGCAAGTCTGACACATTTACCACTTTGACGAAACCCCATCTTCCCGAGGCAAGTGAGTTAACTGATGATAAAAGTCAGTTTCCATATGGAGGTCTGTACAGCAGATAAAGCCGGGTAGAAGGGCCCATAATTTCCTTGTAACTGTCATCAAAATTAGTTTCCTCGATGTCTGAACTCAGTTTATTCTCAACCGCGATATCTCTGACAACCCATTTGACTTGTGTATGGTTTTAACAAGCCACCCCCTTCACTATCTTAGTAAGCACCCAGGGTACATATTACAAGCATGTTCTCCTAATACAAATACTTCATTCTTTATACACTAACGGAAATTAGTAAAATAGTCTACACGATGTTCCTGGTTACACAATAAACAAAACAATAATACATATCGAATCTAAACATCAAATCTACAAAACAAGATTTTGATTTCCAACTTGGAATCATTGGCACATACATAAGTCTTCAGCAGGGGGACACACGTGGGCTTGGGGGGGGGTAACTCGGGTACTCGGGTACTCGGGTACTCGGGTTGGTCCTGAGTAGGACCCGGGAACCCACAGGACTTCCCGAGGCCGTGGTTAGTCATGTGATTTATTGTTTAATGACAATAACAATGAAACTACACTACAAGTCAATAATGTTCGCATTTCTTTCTGACTAAGCACACATTCCTTCTGACTTTTATATGTTTGAGTAAAGTTAAAGCTTCAGTCAACTTCAGTGTGTGCATGATCAGAACGTTTCATACGTATATCTTAATACTTTTTGCCAGGGCTCCCGTAAAACAATTTACAATTAGAAATTTTGTACCCAACTCTTGACACCTACAGCAGGTACCTAGGTAGGATTGGGTAATAGGGAGTCGAGTCATCGGGTAGTAAATTTTGGCTCAGCTCAGCCCTAGTAGACACCATGGAAAATACCCACTTCACGTGTGACACCTGGCTATGTGGATTATCATCCCACAGTACAAGTCTCTAAGGTAGAAGAGCGGCAATGACTAACATCACTATATACAAACAGGCACTCGTACAGCAATCTCGGGAGGAGCACAAGCAAAGGGAGACTACTCTGTTAAACCTCCAACATGTTTGACTTGTGTAAGTTTGCAAACCTGTCTTCATGTGTCAGAGCTCTCTCCAGTGCTTGTGTCCTGGCGTTAACGTGGACTACGTACACAACACTGTCCCTGTCCCTTCTGGCCGCTGTGCAAAATAGGAGGGAGCTAAGTTTGTCTACATAATTACTCAACTCCGATACTAACAAGAAAACATGAACTCAGATGTATGTGACCAGCCATGAGGACCTTATGGGTGGAAAGCACATTTGACTTATCATATTTTAAAACTACAGTATCTTAGGACCACAAAAATACAATTCACAAGCTTCAATTCATCTTCATCACAGAGATGCATGGCATCAAACATTTGGACTCATTTTCTGAAAGACCAATATTTTTACCAATATTTGTTTATGTCACAATTGCAGTTTTTAGATACAATGTGTGATTAATCGAAAGTAGACGTATGCTGAAATGCTTTGACATAATGTTTATATAGAGAATCTTACCCGAGTGTCTTTTGATATCAATTATATCAACACGAGTTGATAAAAGTGGAAAAATTCCGAGGCTTGCCGAAGATTTTTGCCACTTTTATCAACAAGTGTTGATATATTTGATATCAAAAGACACGAGGGGGAGATTTTATTTATCATCCAACATCATTCTTCCAACTTTTTCAATTTGTAGACAGTAATTAGCAGTGTCTTCAGTGTAAAAAGTACTGCTAACAGCTTCAGTAGCAGAGCCATTAGTGATGTCATATGATTGTGACGTCATGGTAACCAGTGATGTCACAATGGTCTGCAAAGCATTGTGATGTAATTTCATTGCAGCGATATCTACAGGCAATTTTTACAGAAGTAAGTTGACGTCAAACGTCTTTCTTTATGTACATCAGTACAATTGTATCCCAGCACCCATAAGGTCCCTTTCTCCTGGCGGGTCACAAAAGACAATTCACTCCTATTTTTCTGATATAACATCCCAATACACTAAGTATTGGTTAGTGTCCTCCTCAAATCCATATCACCCGAAGAGGTGGGGGGAATGGGGGTGGCGTGGGGGGGAGGACACTAACTCACATACCACGAGGGCCATGAACTCAATGTACTTTACGCGACGAGGCAAACCATGAACAGTGGCTTGCCCCCCTCGGCAAATTGTTCAACCTCGGCATGGGGTCGTTATGAATAATAACAACCAGCCGAAAGAATGGACATAACACACAGTAGTGGTAGAAAACAACACCTGCCACTGTGACTGCACTATTATGCACTCTCAGACTTACAGCTCTCATGAAGCTACCTATCTATTCTGCACAGATGCAAGGGAGACTGTCACCCCTGTTACAATGGACTCCTCCATGGAGAGTCTTCTCGCTGTAACAGGGATTCCAGGTACAGGGACATTCTAACCTCAGCAGCCGGTGACTGTCGGGTCGAGACCGGAGCGCTTTGTGATGTGGATCTTCACCAGCTCCTCTGCACACGTTGGGTGGATCCCGACTGTCCCAGCGATGGAGCTGTATGTGGCCCCGCATCTGAAACACCAGTGAGTGAGTGAGTGAGTGAGTGGGCGGATGGGCGGGCGGACGGGCGGGCGGGCGGGCGAGCGAGCGATTGGGTGGGTGGGCGAGTGAGTGAGTGGTGGGTTGGTGGGTGGGTGAGTGAGTGAGTGAGTGGGTGAGTGGGTGAGTGGGTGAATGAGTGAGTGAGTGAGTGGGTGAGTGGGTGGGTGAGTGAGTGAGTGAGTGAGTGAGTGGGTCAGAGGGTGAGTGAGTGAGTGAGTGAGTGAGTGTGAGAGAGTGAGTGAGTGAGTGGGTGGGTGAGTGAGTGGGTGAGTGAGTGGGTCAGAGGGTGAGTGAGTGAGTGAGTGGGTTAGTTAATGAGTGGGTCGGTGAGTGAGTGGGTGAGTGAGTGGGTCAGAGGGTGAGTAAGTGAGTGAGTGGGTTAGTTAATGAGTGGGTGGGTGAGTGAGTGGGTGAGTGAGTGGGTCAGAGGGTGGGTGAGTGAGTGAGTGAGTGAGTGGGTGGGTGGGTGGGTGGGTGAGTGAGTGAGTTGGTGGGTGGGTGAGTAAGTGAGTTGGTGGCAGGGTGAGTGAGTGAGTGGGTCTGAGAATGGGTGAGTGAGTGAGTCAGAGGGTGGGTGAGTTACTGAGTGGGTGAGTGAGTGAGTGGGTGGGTGGGTGTGAGTGGGTCAGAGGGTGAGTGAGTGAGTGAGTGGGTTAGTTAATGAGTGGGTCGGTGAGTGAGTGGGTGAGTGAGTGGGTCAGAGGGTGAGTAAGTGAGTGAGTGGGTTAGTTAATGAGTGGGTGGGTGAGTGAGTGGGTGAGTGAGTGGGTCAGAGGGTGGGTGAGTGAGTGAGTGAGTGAGTGGGTGGGTGGGTGGGTGGGTGAGTGAGTGAGTTGGTGGGTGGGTGAGTAAGTGAGTTGGTGGCAGGGTGAGTGAGTGAGTGGGTCTGAGAATGGGTGAGTGAGTGAGTCAGAGGGTGGGTGAGTTACTGAGTGGGTGAGTGAGTGAGTGGGTGGGTGGGTGTGAGTGGGTTGGTGGGTGGGTTGGTGAGTGAGTGAGTGAGTGAGTGAGTGAGTGAGTGAGTGGGTGAGTGAGTGAATGGATGGGTGGGTGGGTGAGTGAGTGAGTGAGTGGGTCAGAGGGTGGGTGAGTGAGTGAATGAGTGAGTGAGTGAGTGAGTGAGTGAGTGAGTGAGTGAGTGAGTGAGTGAGTGAGTGAGTGAGTGAGTGAGTGGGTCAGACGGTGGGTGAGTGAGTGAGTGAGTGGGTGGGTGGGTGAGTGAGTGAGTGAGTGAGTGAGTGAGTGAGTGAGTGAGTGGGTGGGTGGGTGAGTGAGTGGGCGGGTAGATGGGTGTTTGGGTGAGTGAGTGGGTGGGTGAGTGAGTGAGTGAGTGAGTGAGTGAGTGAGTGAGTGAGTGAGTGAGTGAGTGAGTGAGTGAGTGAGTCAGAGGGTGGGTGGGTGGGTGAATGAGTGAGAGTGGGTGGGTGGGTGAGTGAGTGAGTGAGTGAGTGAGTGAGTGAGTGAGTGAGTGAGTGAGTGAGTGAGTGAGTGAGTGGGTGGGTGAGTGGATGGGTGTTTAACGGCATTAAGGGGTCAGTCTCCTGGTAAGACACCCATCACGTTATACTTCTCATGACGTCACAATTAGTAATGACATCACAGTTTAATTCAGTTACAGCAATAGTTGGAGGCCGATAGGTTGAGATTCATATGTTTATGTATTTATTTGTTAGGAATTTATGGGAATAAACAGAAATATATGGGAATGAAAAAATAAATAAATATTTGTTCTACTTTTTCAGTTTAAGTAAAATTAATGCAATCAGATTGAGCATGACGCAAGAATTCAAATGCAGTTTCATCTGTCCTGGTCGTGTTCCTGTACAGTGACTGGTGTGTATGTTAGTCTGAACAAGCACCTGTTGCTGGGTCAGAACATGATGCTGGTTGAAACGACAAACAAAAGGCATTCAGCCTTATTAACCTGAGATACCCATGAAGATCCGGGGTCTTCAGCAACCCATGCTTGCCGTAAAAGGCGAAAGTGCTTGTCGTAGGAGGCTTCAAACGGGATTGGGTAGTCAGGCTCGCTGACTTGGTTGAGGCATCTCATCGTATCCCAATTGCATACACTGGATTGTCTGGTCCAGACTTGATTATTTACAGACCACCATCATGTAGCTGGAATATTGCTTAGTGCAGTGTTAAACAACAAACAAACAAATATTAACCTGAGAGCAACAGCAAAGCCCTGGATTATCTCCCCTGCATTTGGTCCGACCAGATGCATGCCAAGCACTCGCCCTTGTCTCTGGCAGATCATCTGAAATACACAGAAAAAAGTCATCACATTCTGGAAAACTGAATACAGCCTGAGTGTCCTAATAGCGTCACTGAATCAGGTCATATTTCATTTTCAAGCCATTTCATTACAAGTGAGTGAGTGAGTGAATACGGTTTTACGCTGCTTTTAGCAATTTTCCAGCAATGTCACGGCAGGGGACACCAGAAATGGGCTTCACACATTGTACCCATGTCGGGAATCGAACCCAGGTCTTCAGGGTGACAAGCAAACGCTTCGCCCCGACCGCCTCAATTTCATTACAAGGACCAAAAGAATGGACTTAACATATTGTATCTATGTTAGGAATCAAACCAGGACCTTTGGCAGGACTAGCTGATGCTTGAACTACTGGGCTACCACCACCCCCAGTTCCCCAATAAGGCAAAGTAAGGTGCGGGTCCTAGTTTCTCATTCCTTCCTTCCTTCCTTTCATCAGTGAGTGAGTTTGAGTTTAACGCCGCTTTTAGCAGTATTTCAGTTATATTATGATGTTGCAAGGAGTGATGCAGGTCTTAGGCGCTAACCACTTTAGTGAAACCAATAACTGACAAACATGTTCTGACAAACCCAGAAACATAATCGGGCCCCAACTGGGATTTGTATCCACAATCCAAGGTTTCTGGCACGCCCAAGGGATGCAACTTGGCACAGATAATTCCCTTGACAACAGAGCCACACGTTTCCATGGTACTTTGTTTGGAAACAAACACAACAGTTTTTATCCACATATTATTTTCATCTGTCACGTACCTTGATGTAACACTGTGATGCATCTCTGTCGGGGAGGGTGAACTCCAGAGGTTTGTAGAAGGCGTGATATATCTGCAACACAACACAATACAACAGTGAATATCAGGAATTATACCACTAAATTGTGTGTTTGCTGTTTAACGCCGCACTCAGCAATATTCCAGCTACATAACGGCGGTCTGTAAATAATCCAGTCTGGACCAGACAATCCAGTGATTCATGAGCACCTATCCACGCAATTGGGATATGACGACATGCATCAACCAAGTCTGCGAGCCTGACCACCCGATCCCGTTAGTTGCTTCCTTAGTATGACAGGCGTAGCTGCCTTTTACAGCAAGAAAGGGTTGCTGAAGACCTATTCTACCCCGGATCTTCATGGGTCTTTACCAGTACTGAAGCTAAGCATGGACATAAAAGTAAACATAGGATTAATGTTGGAGGAAAGCCTAAGATATTTTCTACAGGGGATCTGATGCTGAAACTCCATCTCAAAAGAACAGATACCCCCCACTATTTTATCCTTGTCTTTGATTGGCATTTGGAAGTTGGTTGAGTTAGAAAGTGGGGTTTTACACACTTTTTGCAATATTTCAGCTTTGTAACGGAAGGGACACCAGAAATCAGCTTCACATACTGAACCAATCTGTGGGAAGACTTCACACAATGCTACACCTGCTACCCTGCCAAGGTAAGGATGTCATCTATGGGAAGACTTCACACAATGCTACACCTGCTGTCCTGCCAAGGTAAGGATGTCATCTATGGGAAGACTTCACGCAATGCTACACCTGCTACCCTGCCAAGGTAAGGATGTCATCTATGGGAAGACTTCACACAATGCTACACCTGCTACCCTGCCAAGGGAAGGATGTCATCTATGGGAAGACTTCACACAATGCTACACCTGCTATCCTGCCAAGGTAAGGATGTCATCTGTGGGAAGACTTCACGCAATGCTACACCTGCTGTCCTGCCAAGGTAAGGATGTCATCTATGGGAAGACTTCACGCAATGCTACACCTGCTACCCTGCCAAGGGAAGGATGTCATCTATGGGAAGACTTCACGCAATGCTACATCTGCTATCCTGCCAAGGTAAGGATGTCATCCATGGGAAGACTTCACACAATGCTACACCTGCTATCCTGCCAAGGTAAGGATGTCATCTATGGGAAGACTTCACATGATGCTACACCTGCTACCCTGCCAAGGTAAGGATGTCATCTATGGGAAGACTTCACGCAATGCTACACCTGCTACCCTGCCAAGGTAAGGATGTCATCCATGGGAAAACTTCACACAATGCTACACCTGCTATCCTGCCAAGGTAAGGATGTCATCTATGGGAAGACTTCACGCAATGCTACACCTGCTATCCTGCCAAGGGAAGGATGTCATCTATGGGAAGACTTCACATGATGCTACACCTGCTACCCTGCCAAGGTAAGGATGTCATCCATGGGAAAACTTCACACAATGCTACACCTGCTACCCTGCCAAGGTAAGGATGTCATCTATGGGAAGACTTCACACAATGCTACACCTGCTATCCTGCCAAGGGAAGGATGTCATCCATGGGAAGACTTCACGCAATGCTACACCTGCTACCCTGCCAAGGTAAGGATGTCATCTATGGGAAGACTTCACACAATGCTACACCTGCTACCCTGCCAAGGTAAGGATGTCATCTATGGGAAGACTTCACACAATGCTACACCTGCTACCCTGCCAAGGTAAGGATGTCATCTATGGGAAGACTTCACATGATGCTACACCTGCTACCCTGCCAAGGTAAGGATGTCATCTATGGGAAGACTTCACTAATTGCTACACCTGCTATCCTGCCAAGGTAAGAATATCCTGAAAACAAACCTCAATGTTGTCTTCCCCGTACTTCCTGATGGCCGTCTCCTCCGATATCCCCACCATGCCGTACTCTAGTGGAGTGAACACTGTAGTCGGTACCTGGCAATTACAACCGCACATTTACATCTCAATTTGTCTATGCAATAATATCAAACGAAGTATGAAAGCATTTTACTTTTGATATTGTATATTGGTCCTGTTATTCAATGAAAGTCTCCACTGTAGAGATAAAACCTTAGTGTCTTATTTCCTTTTCTTATGAGTGATAGAGTTGGGTTTAACGCCGCTTTTAACAGTATTTCAGTTAAATCATGGCGTGTCAGCTGAATGTGGGAGGAAAGCCGAAGTGACACAGGTTTACGTTTACCACTTCAGTGAAAGCCACGAGCACGGGTATGGTGCTGACAAACCTAGAAACATAATCAGGGCAAACTGGGATTTGAACACACAATCATAGGTTTCTGACATGCCCAAGGGATGCAACTCTGCAGAGCTAATTGCGGCGCCTCAGACGACTGGGCCACCCGTGCCCCCTCCTTTTCTCATGTAAATATTCTAATGTCATATTGATGGGGCATGGAGGCAGGCAGTGTATACAAACATGTAAAGTACTGACGATGTGGCGTTCATGGCTGAAACATGGCTGAGCGAAGCAGTTTAATGTCTGAGGAAAGTCTGAGATGTTTACCACTTTGGTGACAAACATGAGCACGGGTAAGGTGCGGAGAAACTGGGATTCAAACTCACAATCATAGGTTTCTGGCACGCCTAAGGCACAGCCAATTGCATCACCTTTAAAGACCCCGCCCACCTGAGTGATTTAGTGAGTGAGTGAGTGAGTGAGTGAGTGAGTGAGTGAGTGAGTGAGTGAGTGAGTGAGAGTGAGTGTACAAGGAACCACACAAGGGAGCGTGTTAGGGATGTGCATGTTAGGAGTGTATGAACAAGTGAGTTATTTTCTTATACCACATTTAAAAAATATTCCAGCAACTTTACAATTGTGGAGACACCAGAAATGGACACATTTTTCCATGTTGGGGAATCAAACTCGGGCTTTTGGAGTTATGAACAAATGCTTGAACCAGTAAGCTACCCCCCTGCCCAAGAACTGATTCTACCTTCTCATAGTCCATCTGTGCCGAGCTCCCAGCAAACAGCCGATGTGCCAACAGTTTCCCGGCCTTAACCGCCACTGGCGTTAGTTCGGGGCGTTCCTGCAGCCACAGAATATTGGTCAAGTATGTTCCACCAAGAAAGAAAGGAATACCAGACACAATCAGAGTCCACGTCATGTGGAGATGGCCAACAGAAACTTACATGCAGAACATCCCCAATGCCGTAGATGTTGTTGACCGTCGTCCTCTCGTGGTCGCCACCATGACCCCCGAGGATCTTGTTGGTGGTCTCATCCAGTGCCACGCCCACCTGTCTCAGCCCCAGGGAGTGGGTCTCTGGGCGCCTGCCTTAAAGCACAGTCTTTATTTGTCAGGTAGCAAATACAGAGAGCATTCAAGCAGGTCATCAGATCCAGTGGCTTTAAAATAAATGTGAGTGAGTGAGTGAGTGAGTGAGTGAGTGAGTGAGTGAGTGAGTGAGTGAGTGAGTGAGTGAGTGAGTGAGTGAGTGAGTGAGTGTGAATATGGTTTTACGCCGCTTTTAGCAATATTCCAGCAATAGCACGGTGGGGGACACCAGAAATGTGCTTCACATATTGTACCCATGTCGGGAATCGAACCCGGGTCTTCGGCGTGATGAGCAAATGCTTTCACCACTAGGCTACCCGACCGTCCCCTCATTTCAAGGAAGGTTTTCCAATGAATTTTCTCAGTTTACAGCTGCAGCAATATTCCAGCTATATCATGGCTGCCTGTCTAAAGCTGAGTCTGGAGCAGACATTCTGGTGATTGATATCATGAGCAATGATCCATGCACGCTGACAGGCTAACATGAAGAAACCGAGCCAAACTCAATAGATTGCCGCTTTTGAAAAGCATAGGTTGCCGGGGACAAACTCTAACCCAGAATCCTTAGGGTGCGTTTCCTCCAACTTCCAATTCACACCAGTGTACACAGGAGAGTTTACAGTCAGATATATCCAGCTGTGCCAAGGTGGCCTACAAATAATCAAGCCAGACAAACCAGTGATTGAAATCATGACATCCCACACCATGAGGGTACCATGCCAGGTGAAAGAGCGAGAGCACCTGATCCCCATGTTAGTCTACACAACAGGGGTACCACACTCACCAACAGCCATGAGTATGGTGTCGAACATGTCCTGGTGTGTGACACCCTTGCCATCAGTGTAGCACACCATGAGGCGGCCATCGTCTCTCTTCTGGATCTGCTCCGGGACGCACTGTCTCAGGAAGTTGGTGCCGCTGTTCTCCATGTAGTCTACCACCAGCTTGGAGAGTTGCTGCCAATCAGAGAACACCATCCAGGCAACATTACCCCATGAATAGGTGGTCTAACCGGGTAACACTACCCCATGAATAGGTGGTCTAATCAGGTAACACTACCCAATGAATAGGTGGTCTAACCAGGTAACACAACCCCATGAATAGGTGGTCTAACCAGGTAACACTACCCCATGAATAGGTGGTCTAACCAGTAAACAGTCCCACCTGATTATGTGGTCTAACCAGGAAACAGTCCCTCCTGAATATCTGGTCTTGTCAGGTAACATTACCCCATGAATAGGTGGTCTTACCAGGTAACATTACCCCATGAAAAGGTGGTCTAACCAGGTAACATTACCCCATGAATAGGTGGTCTAACCAGGTAACACTACCCCATGAATAGGTGGTCTAACCAAGAAACAGTCCCACCTGAATATCTGGTCTTGTCAGGAAACATTACCCCATGAAAAGGTGGTCTTACCAGGAAACAGTCCCACCTGAATATCTGGTCTTGTCAGGTAACACTACCCAATGAATAGGTGGTCTAACCAGGTAACACTACCACATGAATAGGTGGTCTAACCAGGTAACACTACCCCATGAATAGGTGGTCTAACCAGGAAACACTACCCAATGAATAGGTGGTCTAACCAGGAAACAGTCCCACCTGATTATGTGGTCTAACCAGGAAACAGTCCCTCCTGAATATCTGGTCTTGTCAGGTTACATTACCCCATGAATAGGTGGTCTTACCAGGTAACATTACCCCATGAAAAGGTGGTCTTACCAGGTAACATTACCCCATGAATAGGTGGTCTAACCAGGTAACACTACCCCATGAATAGGTGGTCTTACCTGGTAACATTACCCCATGAATAGGTGGTCTAACCAGGTAACACTACCCCATGAATAGGTGGTCTAACCAGGAAACAGTCCCACCTGAATATCTGGTCTTGTCAGGTAACACTACCCAATGAATAGGTGGTCTAACCAGGTAACACTACCCAATGAATAGGTGGTCTAACCAGGTAACACTACCACATGAATAGGTGGTCTAACCAGGTAACACTACCCCATGAATAGGTGGTCTAACCAGGAAACACTACCCAATGAATAGGTGGTCTAACCAGGAAACAGTCCCACCTGATTATGTGGTCTAACCAGGAAACAGTCCCTCCTGAATATCTGGTCTTGTCAGGTAACATTACCCCCATGAATAGGTGGTCTTACCAGGTAACAATACCCCATGAATAGGTGGTCTAACCAGGTAACACTACCCCATGAATAGGTGGTCCAACCAGGAAACAGTCCCACCTGAATATCTGGTCTTGTCAGGTAACATTACCCCCATGAATAGGTGGTCTAACCAGGTAACACTACCCCATGAATAGGTGGTCTTACCAGGTAACACTACCCCATGAATAGGTGGTCTAACCAGATAACATTACCCCATGAAAAGGTGGTCTAACCAGGTAGCACTACCCCATGAATATGTGGTCTAACCAGGTAACACTACCCCATGAATAGGTTGTCTTGGAAGGTAACACTACCCCATGAATAGGTGGTTTAACCAGGAAACACTACCCCATCATGAATAGGTGGTCTAACCAGGTAACACTACCCCATGAATAGGTGGTCTTGCCAGGTAACACTACCCCATGAATAGGTGGTCTAACCGAAACAGTCCCACCTAAATATCTGGTCTTGCCACGTAACATTACCCCATGAATAGGTGGTCTAACCAGGCAACACTACCCCATGAATGGGTGGTCTAACCAGGTAACACTACCCAATGAATAGGTGGTCTAACCAGGAAACAGTCCCACCTGAATATCTGGTCTTGCCAGGTATCATTACGCCATGAATAGGTGGTCTAACCAGATAACACTACCCCATGAATAGGTGGTCTATCCAGGTAACAATACCCCATGAATAGGTGGTCTTGCCAGGTAACACTACCCCATGAATAGGTGGTCTAACCGAAACAGTCCCACCTGAATATCTGGTTTTGCCAGGTAACATTACCCCATGAATAGGTGGTCTAACCAGGTAACACTACCCCATGAATAGGTGATCTATCCAGGTAACACTACCCCATGAATAGGTGGTCTTGCCAGGTAACACTACCCCATGAATAGGTGGTCTAACCGAAACAGTCCCACCTAAATATCTGGTCTTGCCAGGTAACATTACCCCATGAATAGGTGGTCTAACCAGGTAACACTACCCCATGAATATGTAGTCTAACCAGGTAACACTACCCCATGAATATCTGGTCTTGCCAGGTAACACTACCCCATGAATAGGTGGTCTAACCAGGAAACAGTCCCACCTGAATATCTGGTCTTGCCAGGTAACATTACCCCATGAAAAGGTGGTCTAACCAGGAAACAGTCCCACCTGAATAACTGGTCTAACCAGGAAACAGTCCCACCTGAATATCTGGTCTTGCCAGGTAACATTACCCCATGAATAGGTGGTCTAACCGAAACAGTCCCACCTGAATATCTGGTCTTGCCAGGTAACATTACCCCATGAATAGGTGGTCTAACCAGGAAACAGTCCCACCTGAATATGTGGTCTTGCAAGGTAACATTATCCCATGAATATGTGGTCTAACCAAAAAACAGTCCCACCTAAATATCTGGTCTAACCAGAAAACAGTCTCCCATGAAGATGTAGTCTAACCAAAAAACAGCCCCACCTAAATATCTGGTCTTGCGCGGTAACATTATCCCATGAATATGTGGTCTAACCAAAAAACAGTCCCACCTAAATATCTGGTCTTGCCAGGTAACATTGTCCCATGAATATATAGTCTAACCAAAAAACAGTCCCACCTAAATATCTGGTCTTGCGCGGTTACATTATCCCATGAATAGGTGGTCTAACCAGGAAACAGTCCCACCTGAATATCTGGTCTTGCCAGGTAACATTATCCCATAAATATGTGGTCTTACCTGGATATAATTTCACTTGAATATGTTGGCTTACCAGGAAAGTCCCACCTGAATATGTGGTCTAACCAGGAAACAGTTTCCCATGAATATTTGGTCTAACCAGGAAACAATCTCATCTAAATATATGTCGTCTCACAAGCAAACAGTCTCACCTGAATATATGTCGTCTCACTAGCAAACAGTCTCATCTAAATATATGTCGTCTCACTAGCAAACAGTCTCACCTGAATATGTGGTCTTACCTGGATATAATTTCACTTGAATATGTTGGCTTACCAGGAAAGTCCCACCTGAATATGTGGTCTAACCAGGAAACAATCTCATCTAAATATATGTTGTCTTACAAGGAAATAGTCTCACCTGAATGTCGTCTTACCAGGAAACAGTCTCACCTGTTGTTTTACCAGGAAAGCCTCACCTGAATATGTGGTCTCACCAGCAAACAGTCTTGCCTGAATATCTGGCCTCACTAGCAAACAGTCTTGCCGGAATATGTCGTCTTACCAGGAAACAGTCTAACCTGTTGTTTTACCAGGAAAGTCTCACCTGAATATGTGGCCTCACCCGCAAACAGACTTGCCTGAATATGTGGCCTTGCCAGGAAACAGTCTCACCTGAATATGTGGCCTTGCCAGGAAACAATCTCATCTGAATATGTGGTCTAAAAAGGACACAGTCTAAATAGTGCAGCATACTGCAGTCAACTCCGCTGTATCAACATCTACAAGTTTTACCAGCACTGTGCCCTCGGTGTTTCATGTACGGCTCACAGCTCCAGCGCATGGAGCACCAGCAGGGGAGACTGACCTGGTCGAAGCCCCGCAGTGGGATGGACCTGATCATCACGGTGGTGTTGAAGCCCATCCCGGTGAGGAAGCCCCCACACTCCAGCCCGATGTCTGCACAGGAGTCAGGAAGATGTGTCAGACAGTCATGTACCATAGCCTATGTCAAACTGAAGCACACATCGCTGGGAGGAGCGCGCATCAAGGTAAATAGAGAATCTCACTCGAGTGTCTTTTCATATCAAATATATCAACGAGTGTTGATATATTTGATATCAAAAGACACTAGGGTGAGATTTTATTCATCATCCAACATCATTCTTCCAACTTTTTCAATTTGTAGACAGGAATAAGCAGTGCCTTCAATGTAAAACGTACTGCTAACAGTTTCAGTAGCAGAGCCATTAGTGATGTCATTTGATGGTGACGTCATGGTAGCCAGTGATGTCACAATGGTCTGCAAAGCATTGTAATGTAATTTCATTGCAGCGATATCTACGGAGCAGATATCGCTTGATCTCATCTAAGCAATATCTCCTGTGGGAGCCAGTTTTGGATGATAATAATAATACTGATGATGATGATGATGATGATGATGATGACGACCACGGTTTGTAAATAATACACTCTGGACCAGACAATCCAGTGATTGACATCATGAGCAACAATCCATGCATTAGGGATATTATGACATGCATTAACCAAGTCAGTGAGCCTGACCACCCGATCCCGTTAGTTGCCTCTTACGACAAGCATAGTCACCTATTACGGCAAGCATGGGTTGCTGAAGACCTATTCTAATTGCAGCTTCACTGTGGGAGACAAGCACGGGTAGTTGAAGACCTATTCTATTTGCAGCTTCACTGTGGGAGACAAGCACGGGTAGTTGAAGACCATTTCTGACTCTGTCTGTGCAACTGTCATCAGTGTCTGACAAAGGATACAGCTACCTCCAACAACTAACCTGAAATTAAACAGAAAATATAAGATGGCTCCATGATAATCGCAAAGAACAATGAAGAACGAAGCATATTATATTTCAGGATAAAACATTGTTCTATCAAGACTTCATGTTATGGAGATTCGAACAACTTGATGACATCGTAAATTGAACATTCTTTTTTTAGAGGGAAGTGTTTAGTGAGTAGTCCCCCATAGATGTAGCTGGGCAACACAGGTAAACGCAATGGCCGAATGTTCTCATCCCAAAGTGGGAGAGATATTAAATCAGTTATTAGGGAGTAAAAGTGCAGAAAATTGACGTGAAAATTGTGAGAAAATCCTGGAAATACCAAACTTAATCCCCTGTTCATAAAATGGACTTGTCCGACATTGCTGAGTTCGGTATATTCAGAGAGTCATCATTATCTAAATGTGGGTGAATATTTTTTAAGTTTTAAGCTTCAACATATTACTAACACCCTCAAAGAGGCTGTACGTAATGTTGATATCTCATATGAGAAATAAACAAATCGTGGTCGTTGTATATCGAGAATAAACCGTTTGCCCTCATGGATAATACTCCCTGCAGTGATTTATCGTACAATAAACAACGACCACGAGTCGTGTATTTCGTAAACATTGGCGAACATCATATCAACGAAACTACCAGTAAAATAAGCTAACCCTGAAAACAGTTGTTACTGAGGCCAGTCAATTAATGTTCTGGCTAATGTCTCAAAGGGGGCATGTGCTGCACGATCTGGGTTCCCATTTTAGACTGGTCATCGACATTGCAATAAAACTGTGAGAAACTGAGACATTGACATACTGAGACATAAGAGCGATCATTACCAACTACCAAACTGATACATAGTAATATGAAAGAATCAGTGTTCTTGAACTTTCTTTGAGTGGTATAATCACAAAATCTGAGCTAGCAGACAAGTGGTGTTCAAGGAACTTGAATCTAATTGGCTGTCACGGCCGAATAGTTGAGATGTGTCTCCCTTTAACTTGTAAAAAGAAAAACGATTCCTTTTCCAAAAGATAAGATTGCCACTGCTGAAATAATTTTGTAAATATTTTTGTTTATTACTATATTTTCACAACACTTATAGAGAAGCCTGAAAGCAACCCTGACAATACCATGCCTCCCGCATTGTATGAAGTAGTCAAAGAAAATCAGTCAAGGTCAGCTTGCTGCAACCTACGTTTTCCCAGGCGGTTTCTTCATCCAGAAAATGTCATCACTCGATATGGTGTACTCCGCAGCTCCGGGAATCTGTGCACACAACATTACTTGTACTACATGGTTGGTTGTGTGTTGGTTTGTTGTTTTACGCCGCACTCAGCAATATTCCAGCTATATGACGGCGGTCTGTAAATAATCGAGTCTGGACCAGACAATCCAATTTCATGGATGTCAGCTTCTTTATTGTGGCATCCATACATTCTCTTCCTTAAGTGTATGGCTGGGGTATGAAACTACACCAACACGGCCAGCATACCTCTGTTCATGAACCTAACAACGCGATCACCCTCTCTAAAACATATACTGAACCACAAAAGAAACGTCACCCCAAGTAACATTGCATGAAAAGTTGTCATTTAAATACCTGGGTAATTTTTGTAAAAGTTTCTCAAATTTAACATTACTGTGTCTGGAAAAATGAAATTTGATGATAAGAAACAAAGCAGATGACAATAAAACCGATCGCCCAAACGCATTACGGCAACGGCCATAGTAACCCGATGCACGTGATTTCTGTGCAAATTGAAATGCACATGCGTTCCCCCATTACTTGCCCTATAAAAATCCACCCAGGTCAGATAACATTCATTCATTATTGAATTGCTACCACATGCCAAGATTAACAAGAAAACAGCGACACCAAGCGAGACCAAGGGTCACCACCCAACGTCAGGATCGTCAGATTGTGCAACAGCATCTTCACGATCGCTTTGTTACTGCTGCGGAAACTGCTCGACAGACCATGGGGACACACCAGTGACACATTAGTGCGCACATCGTGCGTCGACGATTGACGAGCAGACACCTCCACTGTCATAGGCTGCACCGAGGACCCATTCTGACACCACATCATCGCCGGGACCGTCTTCAGTGGGCAACACAGCACCAGCATTGGCGCCACCAGCAGTGGAAAGAATCCTCTTCTCAGACGAGAGCCTTTACTGTATCTCAACAGCAGATGGCAGAGAGAGAGTCTGGCGACGCTCTGGGAGACGCTATTCGGATGCTTGTGTTGTTGAGAGAGACTCCGCGCATCATGGTGTGGGGTGGAATTGGTCTTGCACAGAGGGTCCAGAACATCAGTCCTGGGAGAGGCAATGGTGTCACAGCAGCTCGGTACATTGATCAAGTCTTGAGACCACACGCCATACCTCATTTGGCACGTCACCGCAACCATGATAACGCCCATGCCCGCACTGAGAGACCAACAAGAGACTTCCTCCAGGGAAATGGCATCAGAACCATGCAGTGGCCTGCCCTCAGTCCTGATTTAAATCCCATTGAGCACCTGTGGGACGAGATTCAAAGACGGCTGAATGACGTCCGACCAAGGCTGACAACTGCAGCTGAACTGCGTCAGGCGTTCCTCAGAGTGCGGGCTCAAGTGCCTATGCCTTCATCAGCGCCTCATCCATTCCTTGTATTGACGTTGCACGGCAGTCATCAATGCACATGGCGGACACACGAGACTTGTGATGCCATTTTCTCAGAGACTAGTGTTGTTTCACTTTAAGAACATTTGACACTTTAATTTCAACCTTGATCAGTTTTGCCAAGTTTCATCTTTTTAATATGTCTCAAAGTATGTTTACAGTGTTTGGACAAATAAGGTTTTACATATATCTATCTATGGTGATGTTACTTTTGTGGTTCAGTATAGAATAATGTGGCAGGTTATGTCAGGCGATCAGGTTGCTTCGGGTCGGATCGCACAGCCTTGCAGTGGTGCATGACCCATTGTTTAGGTGGTGACCATGGTGATGCTGGGATGAGATCGGGTGAAATGTTTTTAGAAGTTTGAAACTTTGTTTGAGCACATTTCCTCACCAGGATGAAAACAAGAAGGAAGAAATGCATAGTGTGAGATAGGAAAGTTTAAAAATGATCTGTTTATAACCGGTGAAGTATGTGTTTAAGTTATTCTCCAGACAGTACTTTATGGAAACATTACGGTATACTTGTCAAAACAAAGCAGGAAGTGACTGAATTGGTCTACCTCAACCGGTAGATATGGCCGACCTCCCACAGCTATCACAATCTGGTCTGCTTCCAGTACTTTCTGTGAATGAAAAAAACCACACTTCTCAAACTGCAGTGTATTCAAAATATATCCAGTGAAACTTGGTGACATTTAACAGTTAGGAGCTGCACAACATATTTATAACTGCCCCTGTTTTGAGTTTGGGAAAAAGGTCTTTCTAAATAGAGCCATACAATTCTGTCAGTCACCTTATTTATATATACTCACTGCCAAAATAAATGTGAATAGAAGAATGTACATTCTGAAGAGATGTTTTCAATGTGTACCATTTAATAACAAAACTCACAATCAGTCAAGTGTTACCACAGATTGTCTTTATTCCTATTACGACATGCTGCACGTGATTTCCAAACTTTACAGCTAATCCTGCACGAGACAAATGCTGCATCTCATCTCATGGATCTATGACGTCACATGTGATGCGTTTATGAGCATCACTTCACATAACAAACCAGTATGTTTGTTTGTGCATCGAACCAATCTAATATATCTTGAATATGAGTAAATCTTCATATTTTAACCAACATGGTTTTCATGTTTCTTTTGGCGGTGAGTACAGAAATCATTTTGATGCTTCAACCATTTTTTGGTAAAAACATCGCGAGTGTGTTGAAGGAATATTGCCAGTGCCAGTAGTGATGCTTTCAACAAAAATGGGCCTTCATTACCATTCAAACAACCATTAAGCCCTGTGCACTGTGGTTTCTCAGGAATAAAGTTCTTAAAGGGGAAGTGTACACGCAAAAATCACTTTCTTTCTTTTTCTAAACAAAACGCAATTTTAGAATTAGTTAGTATCTGTGTTTGAAAATATAAACTCATTTTTTTCACAGTGAAAGTAGGAAGCTCCCAATAGTGTGAAAATGATATGCCGTTATGAGGCCTTCGTTTTTCGAGCTAAACAGGCCTGAGTTATTCCCCTTAGATTATGATGTAATTGGTGCCAATTCAACTGGGTCCCTGGGTTCTCAACGCAAAAGATATCAAGTACCAGTTTGCGGTAAAACAACTTGGCCTACGACACACTCCGGCGCAGTGGTGACTCAGCATAACACTATGCTGGCTGGCATCTGAGACGATAGAAACACACCTGTACCTACACCACGTGAAGCGGCTCTAACAAAGCATGATGACGTCATAATGTTTATCAATTGGCACCAATGACGTCATATTGCAAGGGGCATAAGCCATGGTGTTTTTGTTATGGAAATAGAACACTTGGTAAATGTGAAAAATATAAATCATTTTAATGCAAAAAATATGTTAATTAATTGTGATATTTTTATATTTTTGTCTTTGACACTACTAGGTTAACACTTTTAATGTGGAAAAAGTACAAGAAAAATAGGTTCATTTCCGTGTGAACTTGCCCTTTAAACTTCTTATAAACTTTTCATGTTTCTATTATTTTTATCAAAGTATTACAATGATATAAACAGCCACGAAGTATCACGGAAACAAACATGCAGAGACCCCATACTATTTACACATGTACTGTTAATATGTGGATACGAAACGTCACCTCGAATACGAAACTGCCCTCTATGCTTTAAGAATGACTTTACAGCGGCCATCTTTGTTTGCTTTAGGCTGGCAGTTGAGTGTCAACATGTGTTGTTGCAGGAGGTGTATTGTGTTGGCTGATGAATACGAGTGTATATGAAGAACCTGTATCTGTCTATTTTAACATGTACCACATTTCATTACATTTGGAACTAAAACGGCTGAGTAATGGCCATTAATAGCTTTTCCAATAAAGGTGTTGTGGCAGCCATATTGACAATCAGAGTCGAACCTTTTGAACAAATTGTGGTGTCCTCATTGGTGGGAACAATGCATGTTAAGTTCAACCCTCATTGGTTCAGCAGTGTCTAAAGAGAAGATGTGAATGATGCGCCAACAAACAGGCTTTCAATGGCACCCATGTAAAAAAATTGGATTAGAATTCTGTGTTTGTTTGTTTGTTTGTTGTTTAATGCCGCACTCAGCAATATTCCAGCTAAATGATAGCAGTCTGTACCCCGGTAAATAATCGAGTTTGGATCAGGCAATCCGGTGCTTGACATCATGAGCATCGGTCCACGCAATTGGGATACAATGACATGCGAGTCAGACCACCCGATCCTGTTAGTCACCTCTTGCAACAAGCATAGTTGCCTATTAAGGCAAGACCTTGTCTACCCCAGATCTTCACTGGAATTCTGTGAGCAAATTTTAGAGTGAGTGAGTGAGTGAGTATGGTTTTACGCTGCTTTTAGCAATATTCCAGCAATATCACAGCGGGGGACACCAGAAATGGGCTTCACACATTGTATCCATATGGGGAATCGAACCTGGGTCTTCAGCATGACGAGCAACACTTTTACCACTAGCCTGCCCCATTGCGCCGCACATTTTAGAGACATCATAGATGGGATATTTTCATTATCTGGAAATCAACTAACCTCCTTCCCTTTGGCGTCCACTGCCTGGATGGTGTGTTTATCCAGTAATGTTCCATATGCATTGATATAGGTTACATTCCTGTCAGAAAACAAAGTTATCATTTCAAATGGCATGTCTTACTTTTGTTTTGAATTTTTTTTCTGACTCTTAACGACACAAGTGAGTAAGGCCTAAACAATGATGTGGTTCTGATTACTCAACATGGAATTTTGTTTGAGTGTGTGTTTGTCGTTTAATGATGCCACACTCAGCAAAAGTCCAGGAATATGACAGCAGTCTGTACATAATCAAACCTGGACCAGACAATCCAGTGATCAACATCATGAGCAATGATCCACCCTCTCGGGTATGTTGACATACCCAGGTCACTGACCCTGACCACCGATCCATTAAGTCGCCCCTGACGACCGGCACAGGTTGCTAGGGACCAATTCCTGCAATCTCCTCAGACATGAACATGACTGATTTTTTATTATGCGACAGATTATTTTGGTATGTGACAGATTCTTTTTGTATGAGAAAGATTAGTTTTTCAATGAGTGCTTCAAGACATTAAAAAATATTTCATTTTCTGATCCATGACACGATTTTTCAGAACAAATTTCTTAATTGATTTATTTGTTTGGCTCTATGGAGACAGTGTTGACCTAGGTAGATGTACTGACTTGTCCTGAAGCTGCACCCGATGACCCCAGTTGAGAGACTTGACATATCCTTGCACCGCATCACACATGCCCTGCCTGCAGGTGAAGACACAGGCCAACATGTACCACAACAAGTCACTTGATAACTATGCAGAGTTGTGTCCCTTTGACATGCCAGGAACTTAGCATTGAATTCAGATTTGCCCTGATTATGTTTATAGAATTGTCAGCAGGATAATTGTGCTCGTGGGTAAAGTGGTAAACTTTTAAGACCTGCATTACTTCAAGCTTTCCTCCCACATCAAGCTGACACGCTTCCCCACATCAAGCTGACATACTTTCCCCCCCCATCAAGCTGACACCCTTTCCTCCCACATCAAGCTGACACACTTTCCTCCCACATCAAGCTGACAAGCTTTCCCCCCCCACATCAAGCTGACACGCTTTCCCCCCACATCAAGTTGACGTGCTTTCCCCCCACGTCAAGTTGACATGCTTTCCCCCCACGTCAAGCTGACACGCTTTCCCCAACGTCATGTTGACACACTTTCCCCCCACATCAAACTGACATGCTTTCCCCTCACATCAAGCTGACACACTTTCCCCCCACATCAAGCTGACACACTTTCCCCCCACATCAAACTGAAATGCTTTCCCCCACATCAAGCTGACATGCTTTCCCCTCACATCAAGCTGACACACTTTCCCCCCACATCAAGCTGACACACTCCCCCCCCCCCCCCCCCCCATCAAGCTGACACACTTTCCCCTCACATCAAGCTGACACGCTTTCCCCCCACATCAAGTTGACGTGCTTTCCCCCACATCAAGCTGACACACTTTTCCCCCACATCAAGCTGACACACTTTTTCCCCACATCAAGCTGACACACTTTCCCCCCACATCAAGCTGACACACTTTCCCCCCACATCAAACTGAAATGCTTTCCCCCACATCAAGCTGACATGCTTTCCCCTCACATCAAGCTGACACACTTTCCCCCCACATCAAGCTGACACACTTTCCCCCCCCCCCCCCCCCCCCCCCCATCAAGCTGACACACTTTCCCCCCACATCAAGCTGACACGCTTTCCCCCCACATCAAGTTGACGTGCTTTCCCCCACATCAAGCTGACACACTTTTCCCCCACATCAAGCTGACACACTTTTTCCCCACATCAAGCTGACACACTTTCCCCCCACATCAAACTGACATGCTTTTCCCTCACATCAAGCTGACACACTTTCCCCCCACATCAAGTTGACGTGCTTTCCCCTCACATCAAGCTGACATCCTTTCCCCCCACATCAAGCTGACGTGCTTTCCCCCCACATCAAGCTGACGTGCTTTCCCCCCACATCAAGCTGACGTGCTTTCCCCCCACATCAAACTGACACACTTTTCCCCCACATCAAGCTGACACACTTTTCCCCCACATCAAGCTGACACACTTCCCCCCCCATCAAGCTGACATGCTTTCCCCTCACATCAAGCTGACACACTTTCCCCCCACATCAAGCTGACATGCTTTCCCCTCACATCAAGCTGACACACTTTCCCCCCACATCAAGCTGACACACTTTCCCCCCACATCAAGCTGACACGCTTTCCCCCCACATCAAGTTGACGTGCTTTCCCCCCACATCAAGCTGACACACTTTCCCCCCACATCAAGCTGACACGCTTTCCCCCCACATCAAGTTGACGTGCATTCCCCCCACATCAAGCTGACACACTTTCCCCCCACATCAAGCTGACACGCTTTCCCCCCACATCAAGCTGACACACTTTTCCCCAACATCAAGCTGACACACTTTTTCCCCACATCAAGCTGACACACTTTCCCCCACATCAAGCTGACACAATTTCCCCCCACGTCAAGCTGACATGCTTTCCCCCCACATCAAGTTGACGTGCTTTCCCCCCACATCAAGCTGACACACTTTTCCCCCACATCAAGCTGACACACTTTTTCCCCACATCAAACTGACACGCTTTCCCCCCACATCAAGCTGACACAATTTCCCCCCACGTCAAGCTGACATGCTTTCCCCCCACATCAAGTTGACGTGCTTTCCCCCCACATCAAGCTGACACACTTTTCCCCCACATCAAGCTGACACACTTTTTCCCCACATCAAACTGACACGCTTTCCCCCCACATCAAGCTGACACAATTTCCCCCCACATCAAGCTGACATGCTTTCCCCCCACATCAAACTGACAAGTTTTCCCCCCACATCAAGCTGACATGCTTTCCCCCCACATCAAACTGACAAGTTTTCCCCCCACATCAAGCTGACACAATTTCCCCCCCCATCAAGCTGACACACTTTCCCCCCACATCAAGCTGACACGCTTTCCCCCCACATCAAGTTGACGTGCTTTCCCCCACATCAAGCTGACACACTTTTCCCCCACATCAAGCTGACACACTTTTTCCCCACATCAAGCTGACACAATTTCCCCCCCCATCAAGCTGACACACTTTCCCCCCACATCAAGCTGACACGCTTTCCCCCCACATCAAGTTGACGTGCTTTCCCCCACATCAAGCTGACACACTTTTCCCCCACATCAAGCTGACACACTTTTTCCCCACATCAAGCTGACACACTTTCCCCCCACATCAAACTGACATGCTTTTCCCTCACATCAAGCTGACACACTTTCCCCCCACATCAAGTTGACGTGCTTTCCCCTCACATCAAGCTGACATCCTTTCCCCCCACATCAAGCTGACGTGCTTTCCCCCCACATCAAGCTGACGTGCTTTCCCCCCACATCAAGCTGACGTGCTTTCCCCCCACATCAAACTGACACACTTTTCCCCCACATCAAGCTGACACACTTTTCCCCCACATCAAGCTGACACACTTCCCCCCCCATCAAGCTGACATGCTTTCCCCTCACATCAAGCTGACACACTTTCCCCCCACATCAAGCTGACATGCTTTCCCCTCACATCAAGCTGACACACTTTCCCCCCACATCAAGCTGACACACTTTCCCCCCACATCAAGCTGACACGCTTTCCCCCCACATCAAGTTGACGTGCTTTCCCCCCACATCAAGCTGACACACTTTCCCCCCACATCAAGCTGACACGCTTTCCCCCCACATCAAGTTGACGTGCATTCCCCCCACATCAAGCTGACACACTTTCCCCCCACATCAAGCTGACACGCTTTCCCCCCACATCAAGCTGACACACTTTTCCCCAACATCAAGCTGACACACTTTTTCCCCACATCAAGCTGACACACTTTCCCCCACATCAAGCTGACACAATTTCCCCCCACGTCAAGCTGACATGCTTTCCCCCCACATCAAGTTGACGTGCTTTCCCCCCACATCAAGCTGACACACTTTTCCCCCACATCAAGCTGACACACTTTTTCCCCACATCAAACTGACACGCTTTCCCCCCACATCAAGCTGACACAATTTCCCCCCACGTCAAGCTGACATGCTTTCCCCCCACATCAAGTTGACGTGCTTTCCCCCCACATCAAGCTGACACACTTTTCCCCCACATCAAGCTGACACACTTTTTCCCCACATCAAACTGACACGCTTTCCCCCCACATCAAGCTGACACAATTTCCCCCCACATCAAGCTGACATGCTTTCCCCCCACATCAAACTGACAAGTTTTCCCCCCACATCAAGCTGACATGCTTTCCCCCCACATCAAACTGACAAGTTTTCCCCCCACATCAAGCTGACATGCTTTCCCCCCACATCAAACTGACAAGTTTTCCCCCCACGTCAAACTGACATGCTTTCCCCCTACATCAAACTGACACGCTTTCCCCCTACATCAAGCTGACCCACTTTCCTTCCACATCAAGCTGACACGCTTTCCTCCCACATCAAGTCGACACGCCTCCCCCCCCCCCCCCCCCCCCCCCCCATCAAGTTGACAAGCTTTCCCTCCCAGCAACTTGACACACTTTCCTCCCACATCAAGTCGACACGCTTTCCCCCCCCCATCAAGCTGACATGTTTTCCCCCCACATCAAGCTGACACACTTTCCTCCAACATCAAGTCGACACGCTTCCCCCCCCCATCGAGTTGACAAGTTTCCCTCCCAGCAACTTGACACACTTTCCTCCCACATCAAGCTGACATGCTTTCCCCCCACATCAAGTCGACACGCTCCCCCCCCCCCCCCCCCATCAAGTTGACAAGCTTTCCCTCCCAGCAACTTGACACACTTTCCCCCCCCATCAAGCTGACATGCTTTCCTCCCACATCAAGCTGACACCCTTTCCTCCATCATCAAACTGACAAGCTTTTCCCCCAGATCAAACTTCCACCCTTGCCAAGCTTCCACCCTTGCCGAACGAGGCTGGAATTAAGGAATCAAATTTTGGCTGGCATAGTCCAATCAAAATTACGTAACGAAATTGACATCTGGTTCATATTCTGCCTTGCATACTTTGATCGATTGCAGGATTTGAAAAGCATGTGTACCATCAACATGCCGTCAATAGAAATTTTCGAAATCTTTTTATAATATTATTCAAGCTGCTCACATGATTTGATGCACCTCGCAAAGTAAGACCCGTATTATTACAATATAGATTTTGATTATCAATCAGATTGTCTTCACTTTGCGCTGCCATTTTGTTTGAAGCAGGTGGAATCTGATTGGTCAATAGGAGGGACATAGAAGGGCCATAACTTGTAATAGCCACTGGTATTCTTACCATCAAGCCCAGTAATTCCAACCTAATTCGGCAAAGGTGGAAACTGGACTGTTACAGTCAGTTAACTCCTGTGCATCTAAATCAAGTGATAACAAGATAACTGGTTACAACAAATATACTTAAAGATCTGCCGATAACAGTGCGAGACCCACCATGAGTGTTTGATGTCTGGAGGAACATCCCAGCCGTATGCCCGAGCGTCACTGATGGCGTGTCCCAGCAAGGCGGCCTGGTGCATCAGCTTCTTCGGAATACAGCCGACATTCACGCAGGTTCCTCCGAGGCCCCACTTGGTGCCTGCAAATCACCAGCAATGCCATGACGGATTAACTATAGTAATAGGAAAGAATCAGGTATTCTTTAACTTCTTATATGTAGTATATTACTATCATTAAAACAATTCATATTTAACTAATTTCCAATCTTAAAAAAATCAGAAAAATAATTTGATACTGGTCTAAATGCTTCAGTTTCGTTTCTTTTCCCCCTTGATATGGAAATTTCAAAATTAACAAATGAAAACATAAATATTCCTTTGATGGTACACCCTTAAAGGTGTAGATGATATAGCATGTAGCAAGCACTGGGTGTATCAAATATCCACAAAACTTTAATGTTGCATCCTTTATTCTTTACATTTGGAATTAGCCTTTTAAGTTCATTTTTGAGACACAGAAATCAGATGTGCTGATTGCTGATTGGTACCGAGAATTTAGAAGCCTTGACACTATTTGGTTAAGAAGTTCACCTGACATGACTTGGAGGGGTTGTCAGATCTTCGGTCAGAGAGGTATTGTATCAGAGGAAAAAAGATTTGATCTTAATGAGAATCACACATGCAGTTTCTAATAGCCACCATTTTGAATTATTCAAATGGGAACCGTCATTCATTGTATAAAGGATCTTATGATCTGGAAACAAAACAATATGTCTTCATGATTTTATTTGAGAAGAATCTTGCTTGAAGGCTGCTATTTTACTTTTATCTAGAATTGGCTGTCATGGAAACCATTCCTCCTTTAACAATTTGACAATGAAACCATGGCAACAATGTCATGTAGAACATTGATTGGGAATGTGATAGCTGGATTTGAAATTAACAAGACAGCGATAAGTCAAATTCAAGGTCAAGGTCAAATGACATTTCTTGGGCGACAACTTTGACCATTAGAAAACAAGTGAAACCATTAACAGTTGTAACACAGGATATGACCATTTGTCCTTCAGTGCTAAAGAAAGGATAGTAGACAGATGTACCATGGATGGACAAAATGTTCCAATGATGTCAGCTCACACCATACAGTTTCAATTTCAAATTTCTCCTGAGACTTGAAAACATGTCAAATTAGTTGGTTGGTTGGTTTGTTCTTTAACGCCGCACTCAGCAATATTCCAGCTATATTAAGGCGGTCTGTAAATAATCGAGTCTGGACCAGACAATCCAGTGATTGACATCATGAGCATCGATCCATGCAGTTGAGATTGATGACATGCATCAACCAAGTCAGCGAGCCTGACCACCCGTTACTGTCAAATCAGTAGACAACTGATGGTAATAATATTTGTTGGCGTGATCAGGATCACAATCAGAACTGTGTTGTACCTCTTGGAGATGGGCTGACATAGTCGAGAACTGCAACTTTCTTCCCTAAACCAGCAGCTGAAAACAAATGAAACTTGTCACATTCATATCATCATTGTAACAGTGAGTGAGTGAGTGAGTGAGTGAGTGAGTGAGTGAGTGAGTGAGTGAGTGAGTGAGTGAGTGAGTGAGTGAGTGAGCAGACAGAAATATTCACACTACATCATGGAAACCATGAAACTAGTGGTTGATAGTCTGATCAACAATTAACAATGTCATATCTCACTGGCAGCCAGATCCCACACTGTGGACATCAACTCTTGATTTTCTTAAAAACATTAAACATTATATTCATTTAAAACAGCCATGATGTTTTGAAAAGCTCACCTTAAGCTAAACCTGATAAGTTTCTGAATATGAACTTAGATAAACTTGTATCACGCAACAGTAAAACAAATTACATCACATAACAAAAATGACAACAGATATATATACTGAACTTCATACTAAAGGTGGCACTGGTGGCAGTGCCGTCTTAGGCGCCATGATTTGCTGTGCAGAGTTGCATCCCTTGGGCATGCCAGAAACCTATGACTGTGGGTTCGAATCCCTGTTTGCCATGATTATGTTTCTAGGTTTGTCAGCCCCATACCCGTGCTCATGGGTTTCATCGAAGTGGTAAATGTCCGAGACCTGCATCACTTTGGACTTTCCTCCCACATTATGCTGACTTCGCTGTGATATAACTGGAATACTGTAAAAAGTGGCGTTAAACCCAACTCACTCACTCACATACTAAAATGTACATTTCCAACATGGAGTAGCAGCCTTAGCCTGCATGGAGTTCAAAGGTCATTGTCATAGAACTTCCCTATAATTATAAAGCACATGAATATTCTATAACGCATCAATGCATGAAGATTCAGCTGAGTAAATGGCAAAACTGACAAAAAATGAATCATCCATGCAAAGCATCACACACCTTGTGGTTTTACAGATGTGGTTTGAACATATTTAGTGGATTGTTTACCATGATGTCACCACAGGTGATATTTGTTTCAGCTGAGCTAGAAAGATACACCAAATATTTGGTGGGGAATATTCAATGTAGAGAGGCACAGGTAATTGTAATGGAGCATCAAGTGTACTGGAACAATTTGACCTTCTTTGGAACACGCCAACCCTCCACTGCCTCCTCCGATCACAACAAGGTCAAACTTCTCACTGGCTGCAGCTGAAAATTGAGAATTGATGAAATGATTAGCACTGCACATTTGATGAGAATATAAGAAGGTTTGCCTTTTTATCACTGAATCAATTGAAACATGCATGTCAAATTTAACTGATATTTTTATTCATATCAGAAATACATTCAAACTTCAGACTGCCAATTTCTGATATCACTAATTTTCACTTAATACAGTGATTCACAAACAAAGATAATCACAGTCAAAAGCTATTGTTAAATATCCTACACAACAAACACTAATGGAAATACTTCCATGATTTGTTTTCAAATATTGAGAGAATGGTTTAGAATATCATAATCTGGTTAGCACCTACCTCTAACTGATAAATAAAACCTATTGGGTTAAAGCCCATTTAATTTATACTCTATGTAATCATTATTCTAATAATGGATAAAGATACAGTCCGTTTTTACTAATATCCATTATAAGGGTCATACATATTACCATCTGGAGTCATCCAGGTTTGAACTGACATTGCAGCTGTTTGGGATGAATACCAGTGTATCACTGCACATAACACCCCGCCTCATGTTACATAGTATAATGTGACACCAAAATAGTTTTGAACTGCTTATTGCTGTTTATTATTTTTTTTACAGTTATGACTGCTTTCTGGTTTGTAACCAGCATCTCCATTCTAGAGCTATTTAAGAATTAGAATTTTGCAGTAGCCTTTAAAGAAATAAATTTGAACTGTGCACTTTATTAACGAATTTCAGACTTTGATCCATATAGTGTCACTTCTCCAGTGTAATAGAAAATTTACTCGTAAGTTAATTTCTGCTCACTTCAAATGATGTACAGCTGGAAATTATCTCACGATAAGTTTGTTGCTTTGAAGATGTCCAAATCCAACTCGTGCCACCATCACAAATGTGGGAGAAGTTATTAGTGCCTATGTTATGTTATCATATCTGATGTATATTATATACACAGACAACTTATTGTGAGATTACCGTAATGCTTTAATGTCTATTAAAACAATGTTTCTTTACTGATCATTGTCCTCACTTATTGAATTTGATGGAGAAGCTTCAATGCTATTGTATAATCTTTCCAGACAATGCACTACATATTATACGGTATGTTAAGTACTGATTTGAAGATATCATTGTTTACTTACATTGAGTGGATGTTTGTGTGTTTGCTTATCATTGTAAGGATAAATTGGTTTATTTCTTTGCAAAAATTGTGGGGTCAGGTTTTTCTATGTCAATGGTAGCTTTGGAATTGTTTTAGGTCTTGCAATCTCTTAGTATGAGCATGTTTTACGCTCATATTTTATCTTGAAAATATACAGTAATATTTGTAGGTCACTTTGAGACAAACATATGGTTAAACTCCAGTTGGGCAACATTCTATAGTCCCAGGCAGTAGATAATCCTAACAAGAATTTATTTTCAAAAGAAATGTTTGGTGTATTTGGAGAAAAATGGTCTGTGAACTAACAGGTACACAAATGTTCTCTCGTGCACTATGACGGAGCTTGTAATGGCATGTGTAAAATCAGCATCAGACACAAAGAATGTAACTGATGGAGGGATTCATAGCTATGGTTTTAATGACCAGCAGATGCCTGATACTACAATCGGATCAGTACACATACATATTTGCTGCTGGCCTATTTTCACCCCGACGGCAATGATCTATTCTATGAATGATTCTATATCTAGTTGGCATGGCACATAATAAATTCAAGTTTTCTTCAAATGCCATGCTTTAATTCGCCCGCTCGGTGTCGGTTATATAATCAAGCCTTGTAGACACTAGCAGGAATGCCGGGTAGTCTTATCTACATCTGTCAGTAGCCCAGCGCACGCGAGTTTAGCTTCAACAAGAGAAGTAGCGATTGTAGGCCAGGAATGCAGGATAGTGTTGAACAACACGAAAACACAATGCCTATTTGTGACAGTTGCAGAAAATAAGCATTACGAAAGTGCTTTTTACAAATTGGAGTTACTACCAGAAAATAATCTATAGTGGCTCTTTAAACTCCGTTTTATTTTCTGTAAACATTCCAAATTTGCCCTTGCCCAAACGGGGGCTGCCATTTTGAGACAGGGAGGCAAGATATTCGTGAATGAGCAAATACGTAAGATCATAAATAATCCTGTTAAAGTTAGTTTCTATCAAATTTTATATCATTTACATAATTATGAATGAGACTAAATTGAAAAAAAAAATGTTTGTAGAAAGGCTTCTATAAAATTTGTAACATGTATTTTCTGAACAATAATTTACCCCGAAAAGTCTGATGTAAATTGTGTCCTATTGATAAATACGAAATACAATTTAAAATGAAATTCATTTTACCTTCCTTAGTTAGTAATTGGAGTGTTATGGAGTAAACGATTACGGGTTAAAACATCGCAAAATAATTATTTTGATGATTAGAATGATACATAATAAAAATATATCTAACTGATTTCGAATCCTCCAAGTTTTACATTTTGACACAATCGATGTAAACTTCCGCTGCGGAATGTCAATAAAAATCAAACCGGCTATAAATTGACGGCGTTCGACAGCTGTCACACTATCCACGAAATTGAAGTTGATGGTCGTGATCTGATGGGACTCGGTGTAAAGAACTCTTTATTTTCTGATATTTTGGGTTTGCAGTAGAATCGCTGTTATCCCGTAGGTCGCAAGCGTGTGCAAAACGCAGACGACGGAACATCTCTCTTTGAAATTGCTGTGGACTTTGTATCTGGAGATCACTCCAGTCTATGCAGATTTAGGTAGATTGAAACAATCTGCTACTTATCTAGCTCAAACAAATCCGGTGGATATGTATTTGTGGTCATGTTGTCATCGTCACTGTTTGGCCACATTGCTTTGGTTTTGAAGGATATGCTTACAACCGGTACATTATCCTTACGTAACATATTTCCAGTAACACGTGACCTGTTGTGGCCGCACGTACTGTGTACAGACACAAAATACAAGGTTCAGATTTCTGGATTTTAATTATTGTTTGCCTACATTCTATCTTGTGTTCCTGGGGATATTTCTTTTAAAGATTCGGTCAGTTTAGCAGGAATGACATATACTAGGCCCTAAGTATGTACCATGTCATAACCTAAAGGGTTCTCCCTCATGTATCCATGTCAGTTTGACCTCTCATTCATGAGACAACGGCTGACAGTTGACTACCGCTAATTAACAAAGGCCCCAATACCACAACATCTAATTAACATTTAGGACCTTGTCTCTTGCTATCACAATGGCCATCACAATATAATGCATTCTTAATTTCCCAAACAGGTGTAACTGGTGAGCAACCAAGATGTGTATCTTGTTCTTCCAACTGAATGACCGAGAGGAATGTGGCGCCTACCGCCTAGTTCTTGCCAACAACCGAGATGAGTACTGGACTCGACCCACATCAACAGCAGCATACTGGGGGGAGAAGGACAACTGCCTCAGCAGTAAGACATGTTCAACATAACCACTGTGCCAATTAATATTGAATTTCACCTGGTTTCACCACAATATAAAAACTATTTCAAAAGACACATGGGTCAGATTCTGTTTATTATCATCCAAAATCATTCTTCCAATTTTTATACCACTGACCTTAAAGGGATTGGGTTTAGTTATACCAAGGAATTCTGTCTGTCCGACCTTCCGTGGTAATTTTTTGTACGACCCATAACTTGAAAACTACTGCATAGATTCATTGAAACTTGGTAAACACTTTCTATGCCAAAAGATTCTTTACAAATTTAAGGAAACTTTCAATAGAAATAGAAGAGGTGCAGTGCTACATTTTGATTTTGGTATGTGTATTTTCTGAACAAATATGATTTTCTTTCTTGTTTTGAACATAGAATTTGTTTTTCTTCAGCATTTGTGCAACCTATAACTTGATTCCGATACTTGGATTTTCTGAGAAAATATTGCTCTTTTTCGTGTTTTGAACTTAGAAGTATGTTGGGAGTCAAAGTCGGGGGTATTGGTGAGCCCTGCTCACTCTTTGCCTTGTTTCAGGTTGTAAATGAATTTGTCAATGTTGGATTAAATTTCCAATGAAGGAATTGATTATGATATCTGTGATGAATTATTTTTTATTTATATAAGTTCACTTAAATTGTGATTTTTTTTTATCAATGATGTATTTCTTAGTAGACTAGTTTGGAAATTCTTTCAAGTTCAAATCTGATGCTTTTTTTAGCATTTGAAGTAACATATCATTCCTGTTAGTTAAAATTGTGTTCTGTGAAAAGCTAAGTTGTCATTTACCGTTAAGTTTACCATTGAGTTTACCATTGAGTTTACCATTGTTGTTTGTGTGTTGTTTCTGAGTAGGCTTGGATCAGGAGCCGGGGAGAGAGGGTGGGATTTGGCTGGGGATCAACAAACAGGGCAAGATTGGAGTTCTTCTGAACATACTCGGAGAAAACCTCCCAAACAGGAAAGGAAGAGGTAACACTGGTCAAAGTTCCTGTACTTATATAACATTGAGTCTTCACACAACTCTGAGTTGTATCATATGATGTAGTGTTATAATGGCACAATCCCAAATCATCTTCTTTCTTGACTGGTACGTGTGTCAAGATTAGTTACGAAGGATTTCTTATGAGGACATTTTAAATATTGTGATTATGCAATTCTATTTCTAGAATAGGATGATGGCAGTTCCCCACAATGAAGAGTTGGTAGCCACATGCTTTGTTTGTTTGTTGTTTAAAGCCGCACTGAGCCATATTCCAGCTATATGAAGGTGGTCTGTAAATAATCGAGGATCAGACCATCCAGTGATTCTCATCATGTGCATCGATCTACACAATTGGGATACAGCGACATGCATCAACCAAGTCTGCGAGCCTGTCCACCCGATCGTGTTAGTTCCCTCTTACGACAAGCATGGGGTGCTGAAGACCTACTCTACTCCAGATCTTCATAGGGTCATCCTCGTGGTTAAAGTGGTGGCTCACCACTGGAAACACCCAGGTTCTATTCCCCACATGGGTATAATTTGTAAAGCCCATTCTTGATACGAAATTACTGAAAGCAACATGAAACGACTATTCTAGCTGACAAAGAGTTTTACTTCAGGGTTCTTGGCGAGGGATTTCATAGCCTCGGACACAGGTGCTGAGACGTTCCTGCAAGACCTGTCTAAAGACATAGTCACCTCCCAGTATAACGGATTCCACCTTGTTCTTCTTGAAGCAGGGTATGTAGATTTAAGTAGATCTTCATGATGCCCAGAAAATATTAAATCTGTGGTCAATTGGTGTGCTGTACACTGTGCAATGTTGACGCCCTTAGTTATACCAGGATCTGCTGATCATGTTTCGATTCCCAGTTTCACTCAGACTTTCATCACTGGTTTGTAAGCACCATTCTCATGGGTTCCAGCATAGTGCTAAACTCGTGAGTCCTGAGTCACTTCGTGCCTCCTCCCACATTCTGCTGACACGCCATCATGCAACTGAATACAATCGAGACACTCTCACAACATTTGTGTTATGGTTTTCAAAAATAATTCATGATGATATTTAGATGCCATTTACAATTTTTCAACAAATTTGATTTTAAAATGTTTTGCAAATATTCAGGGTATTCTGAATGGACGAAAGTTGCTCATAGTTGTCATAAAAGATGCATAAATGGGGATCAGGTGGTCAAGCCATGACTTTGATGATTGCCCATCACTGTATCATTGTGCCCTGATTGTGTTTCATTGTGCCCTGATTGTGTATAATTGTGCCCTGATTGTGTATCATTGTGCCCTGATTGTGTGTATCAGAGCTGATTGCATATCATTGTGCCCTGATTGTGTGTATTAGAGCTGATTGCATATCCCTGTTCCCTGATTGTGTATCATTGTGCCCTGATTGTGTGTATTAGAGCTGATTGCATATCATTGTGCCCTGATTGTGTGTATTAGAGCTGCTTGCATATCCCTGTTCCCTGATTGTGTATCATTGTGCCCTGATTGTGTGTATTAGTGCTGATTGCCCATCACTGTTCCCCGATTGTGTATCATTGTGCCCTGATTGTGTGTATTAGTGCTGATTGTGTATCATTGTGCCCTGATTGTGTGTATTAGTGCTGATTGTTTATCATTGTGCCCTGATTGTGTGTATTAGAGCTGATTGTTTATCATTGTGCCCTGATTGTGTGTATTAGTGCTGATTGTGTATCATTGTGCCCTGATTGTGTGTATTAGTGCTGATTGCATATCACTGTGCCCTGATTGTGTGTATTAGTGCTGATTGTGTATCATTGTGCCCTGATTGTGTGTATTAGTGCTGATTGCATATCATTGTGCCCTGATTTTGTGTATTAGTGCTGATTGCATATCACTGTGCCCTGATTGTGTGTATTAGTGCTGATTGCATATCACTGTGCCCTGATTGTGTGTATTAGTGCTGATTGTGTATGAGTGCTGATTGTGTGTATTAGAGATGATTGTGTATTAGTGCTGATTGTGTATTAGTGCTGATTGTGGATTAGTGCTGATTGTGTGTATTAGTGCTGATTGTGTGTCATTGAGTCCAGGTCATGTGTATCATTGTTTGTTCTTTCATTCTGTCATTGATGAACAGTGACCATGTTCCACGGACACACAACATTTTCCATTATACTTGTGGTTGGTGATGTGGAAACAAGCAATTTTTCTTCTGTTTATTTTTGATACAATCTCATTAAAGTCAGATCTTATACTATGATATGATACCTCTCTGCTTTAAGATCTGATAACCCCATCCCTACCCCTGACCACACGGTCAGGTAGCCTAGTGTTTAAAGTGTTCGCTCGTCACGCCGAAGACCCGGGTTCGACATGGGTACAATGTGTGAAGCCCATTTCTGGTATCCCCCGCCGTGATATTGCTGGAATATTGCTAAAAGCGGCGTAAAACCATACTCACTCACTCACTTCTCCCCACCCCTACACACTATATGGCTGAAATAATGCTGTGAACACACAATGCCAATTAAATAATGCTGATGCAACATTACAGTTTAAGGCACTCACTCACTCTATTAATCCCTCCAGAGAAGGTTGTCAGGTGACCTACCAATTTAAGTAACAGCAGAGTGTATGAAAAATACATCAAATTGTGATGCCTTTATTTTTTGTATTTGTATAGACTGGGGGGCACAGGTGGCCCAGTTGTCTAAGGCGCTGCAATTCGCTGTGTAGAGTTGCGTCCCTTGGGCACGCCAGAAACCTATGATTGTGTGTTCGAATCCCGGTTCACCACGATTATGTTTCCAGGTTTGTCAGCACCATACCCGTGCTTCTGGGTTTCACTGAAGTGGTAAACGTTTGAGACCTGCATCACTTTCCTCCCACATTAAGCTGACATGCCACGATATAACTGGAATATGTGAAAAAGTGGTGTTAAACCCAACTCACTCACTCACTGATATTGACTGTTTAAGTTCATTTTTGAAATCAGATATGCTGCTCTGAATGCTTCACCCACTCATACAGAGATGCAATGCTGATTAGTAACTTAAGTAGTTGTATGAAAGTAGTATGATTTCAATGTCTCTTAAAGCAGTTGCAGTTCTCTTTTACTCTGCTATTTCAGAGGCCCACATCCGCTGGCGATGTACCTGACAGAGAGTTCTGTAGAAGAGAGAAGAATGCAAAGGCTGCCACTCGGAGGTAACCAGGGTTGTGTTGTACATCCTCTAGTGTCAGTGGCACAGTCATCTTCGTGAGGCAATAGAGTGAACTGACTTTAAAAGTCCAGTTTCCACCCTTGTCGAACAAGGCTGGAATTCCTGCGCTCGATCGTAGCGCCACCAGTGGCTATTACAAGTTATGTCCCTTCTAATCCTCTCCTATGGACCAATCAGATTCCACCTCTTGTATCACTTGCATTTGCTTAAAAAAATGGCGGCGTCCAGTAATCAAGATCTATACTGAACCACAAAAGAAACGTCACCATGGATAGATATATGAGAAACCTTATTTGTCTAAACACTGTAAACATACTTTGAGACATATTAAGAAGATGAAACTTGGCAAAACTGATCATCAAGGTTTAAATTAAAGTGTCACAATTTTCTTAAAGTGAAACACAAGACTAGTCTCTGAGAAAATGGCATCACAAGTCAGTATCTCGTGTGTCCGCCATGTGCATTGCTGACTGCCGTGCAACGTCGATACATGGAATGGATGAGGCGGTTGATGAAGGCCATAGGCACTTGAGCCCACACTCGGAGGAACGCCTGATGCAGTTCAGCTGCAGTTGTCGTCATTCAGCCGTCTTTGAATCTCGTCCCACAGGTGCTCAATGGGATTTAAATCGGGACTGGGGGCAGGCCACTGCATGGTTCTAATGCCATTCTGCTGGAGGAAGTCTCTCGTTGCTCTCGCAGTGTGGGCATGGGCGTTATCATGCTGAAACTTGTGTTTGCCAAATGAGGTATGGCGTGTGGTCTCAAGACTTGATCAATGTACCAAGCTGCTGTGATACCATTGCCTCTCCCAGGACCAATGTTCTGGAAGACCACAGGCCGACCCTCTGTGCAAGAACAATTCCTCGCCACACCATGATGCTCGGACCATCCAACGAGTCTCTCTCAATAACACAAGCATCCGAATAACGTTCCCCACGGTGTCGCCAGGCTCTCTCTCTGCCATCTGCCTTTGAGATAAAGTAATGGCTCTCGTCTTCTCCGCTGTGCTTGCACCAATGCTGGTGCTGTGTTGCCCACTGAAGACGGTCCCAGTGATGACATGGTGTCAGAATGGGTCCTCGGTGTGGCCTGTGACAGTGGAGGTGTCTGCTCGTCAATGGTCAAACGCACGGTGTCCGCACTAATGTGTCGCTGGTGTGTCCCCATGGTCTGTCAAGCAGTTTCCACAGCAGTAACAAGCAATCTTGAAGATGCTGTCGCACAATCTGACGATCCTGACATCAGGTGGTGACCCTTGGTCTTCCACTACGTGGTCGGTCATCTGAAGTGTTGGTGGTCTGGTACCTTTGCCGGAGCCTGTATATGGTCCTTACATGGACTTGAAATGCATTGGCTACTTGCCGGGAGGTTTGTCCAGCTTGCAATCGTCCAAGGGCTTGGTGTCGCTGCTTTCTTGTCAATCTTGGCATGTGGTAGCAATTCAATAACGAATGAATGTTATCCTCTCTGTTGGGAATTTTTTAGGGCAAAAAATGGGGGAATGCATGTGCATTTCATTTTGCAAGGAACTCAAGTGCATGGGGTTACCATGGCCGTTGCCGTGATGCGTTTGGGCATTCGGTTTTCTTGTCATCTGCTGTGTTTATTTATCATCAAATTTCATTTTTCCGTACAAGGTAATGTTAAATATTAGAAACTTTGACAAAAATTACCCAGAAACTGATGTGTTCTTGACATATAACACAGGCTATATTGGGATTACACTCTCTTTTGTGTTAAAGTTTGGTTTGAGGGATTTTTTTATATGCCCTTTTTAGATCCCCATGCCTTTGGAAACTCAGCTGTTGATAGGCCTTGGCAAAAGATTGAACAAGGGCGCCCTCGGTTTCAGAAGATCATTGAAGAAAACCGAAGTCCTGAAGCCAAGAACAAGCTGGTAGATTCCTTGATGGATTTCCTCAACGACAAAGGACAGTAAGTGTTGGTGAGGTGACTGTCGGGTAGTCATTAATACGGACCCATAGTGTAGATAAATTTCAAGTTGGTCTGTTATTTAGTTTAGAAATTGTGCATGCTTCATGTGATAACAAAACATACAACTTTATGGAAAACAGCCTCTGGAGTGTCGCAAACAGCGACATTTTGATGTAGATTCTTACACCGTTATCAAACTGGAGTGATATGATGAGTAAAATATGCTATTATTGGGAATTACAAGATTTACCCTGTTCAAATAAGCGCTCCATGTCCAACTTCTCAACCGATCTGTGAGTAATTGATATGAGTACCACTACTAAGACCGAAGACAGCAGCCAAGAGGATCAATTGGTAACTATGATTGTAGAAGTTTTAGTTTCATCAATGTTTGAACTATGTTTGTTCACAACTGCTTGTTCTCTGAAAACAATTTCAACTTGTGTTTAATAAGTACTAATAACACTTTAGAATTTCATAAGGAATTGTTGAGGTATGTCTGCATATCCTAGGAAATTAACAACAGATTTCTCTTCAGTCAGGTGTATTTCATTGTTGGTTAGGGTAGGTTTGTTCACATTTGGAGGAAAATAAAAAGGCCAAGTGCTAAATACTTTTAGTTTTTAGATTGCTAAAATATACTGGTTATTTAAGAAATAAACAAGTGTTAGTTGTTTGTCATAAATAAAACACTGCAGGAAGAATAAACCATGGGCGCAACTCCTCATGGTCGGACAAGTCAATTTGATGCACAGGTGGGTATTTCCCACATATTCTCCCAATCCTCACGTCGATTACCTGTACCTTTTCTCCCAATACTGATTGTCATATCTTTCATGCTTTGAGATGTGCTTGCTCGGCCATAGCAATTATCCTTGTTGCCCAGCTACATCTATGGGGAAGAAGTCATTCTAAAAAAAAATATCGTCATATATACGATGTCATCAAATTGCAAGTGCAAGTTAGAATCTCCAGAAATGACTTAAAGATATAACAATGTTTTATCCTGAAATATACCAAGCTTTGTCCTACATTGTTGTTTGTGCTTTATAGCATAACTATCTTATATTAAATGTTACAGATATACAGCAGACAGTGTTCTTGGAGGGAAATGTCAAGACCTGGGCATTCCCACCCACATAAGAGACGAGAGGTCAGCTAACGGTGTGTGGTCGCCATCTATCATGTATGGGACAAGGTAAGCAAACTTGGGGTTTGTCAAGACGAGAGGTCAGCTAACGGTGTGTGGTCGCCATCTATCATGTATGGGACAAGGTTAGCAAACTTGGGGTTTGGCGTGACGAGAGGTCAGCTAACCATGTGTGGTCGCCGTCTATCATGTATGGGACAAGGTAAGCAAACTTGGGGTTTGTCATGACGAGAGGTCAGCTAACGGTGTGTGGTCGCCATCTATCATGTATGGGACAAGGTTAGCAAACTTGGGGTTTGTCAAGACGAGAGGTCAGCTAACCGTGTGTTGTCGCCATCTATCATGTATGGGACAAGGTTAGCAAACTTGGGGTTTGGCGTGACGAGAGGTCAGCTAACCGTGTGTGGTCGCCGTCTATCATGTATGGGACAAGGTAAGCAAACTTGGGGTTTGTCATGACGAGAGGTCAGCTAACTGTGTGTGGTCGCCATCTATCATGTATGGGACAAGGTTAGCAAACTTGGGGTTTGGCGTGACGAGAGGTCAGCTAACCGTGTGTGGTCGCCATCTATCATGTATGGGACAAGGTAAGCAAACTTGGGGTTTGTCATGACGAGAGGTCAGCTAACGGTGTGTGGTCGCCATCTATCATGTATGGGACAAGGTTAGCAAACTTGGGGTTTGTCATGACGAGAGGTCAGCTAACCGTGTGTTGTCGCCATCTATCATGATTGGGACAAGGTAAGCAAACTTGGGGTTTGTCAAGATGAGAGGTCAGCTAACGGTGTGTGGTCCCCATCTATCATGTATGGGACAAGGTTAGCAAACATGGGGTTTGTCAAGACGAGAGGTTAGCTAACTGTGTGTGGTCGCCATCTATCATGTATGGGACAAGGTTAGCAAACTTGGGGTTTGTCATGACGAGAGGTCAGCTAACGGTGTGTGGTCGCCATCTATCATGTATGGGACAAGGTTAGCAAACTTGGGGTTTGTCATGACGAGAGGTCAGCTAACGGTGTGTGGTCGCCATCTATCATGTATGGGACAAGGTTAGCAAACTTGGGGTTTGTCATGACGAGAGGTTAGCTACGCACTGCTTGATCCTGGCTCACAGAGACTGGTGATGTTTCTTTGTGGACTACCACTTTCACATTTTGATAGATGCCAACTCTGCATCAGATTAAACAGAGATAAATAGAGTTGCCATATGTATTTAAAGGGTCAGTATGTCAACTGTTCTGAAGCATTCTTTGCAAGCAATAGCCGATAAACCCCAAGCTTACTCGCCTCTGGTTGCCTCATTCAACAAGAGAAGTTTTTGCCCTAGTGACCAAATACAGGTGTTTCGTCAGACTCATGCATTACTCAAATACACCTAGAACCGTTGACATCCTGGCCCTTTCAGGCTGATGTAGGATTGTAGTGTGCAGAGACCAGAGTTGATGTATGTATTCACGGGTGATGAAGGAACGTAGTGTGTAGAGACCAGAGTTGATGTATGTATTCACGGGTGATGAAGGAACGTAGTGTGCAGAGACCAGAGTTGATGTATGTATTCACGGGTGATGAAGGAACGTAGTGTGTAGAGACCAGAGTTGATGTATGTATTTACGGGTGATGAAGGAACGTAGTGTGTAGAGACCAGAGTTGATGTATGTATTCACGGGTGATGAAGGAACGTAGTGTGTAGAGACAGAAGTTGATGTATGTATTCACGGGTGATGAAGGAACGTAGTGTGTAGAGACCAGAGTTGATGTATGTATTCACGGGTGATGAAGGAACGTAGTGTGTAGAGACCAGAGTTGATGTATGTATTCACGGGTGATGAAGGAATGTAGTGTGTAGAGACCAGAGTTGATGTATGTATTCGTGGGTGATGAAGGAACATAGTGTGTAGAGACCAGAGTTGATGTATGTATTCGTGGGTGATGAAGGAACATAGTGTGTAGAGACCAGAGTTGATGTATGTATTCGTGGGTGATGAAGGAACATAGTGTATAGAGCCCAGAGTTGATGTATGTATTCACGGGTGATGAAGGAACGTAGTGTGTAGAGACAGAAGTTGATGTATGTATTCACGGGTGATGAAGGAACGTAGTGTGTAGAGACAGAAGTTGATGTATGTATTCACGGGTGATGAAGGAACGTAGTGTGTAGAGACCAGAGTTGATGTATGTATTCACGGGTGATGAAGGAACGTAGTGTGTAGAGACAGAAGTTGATGTATGTATTCACGGGTGATGAAGGAACGTAGTGTGTAGAGACAGAAGTTGATGTATGTATTCACGGGTGATGAAGGAATGTAGTGTGTAGAGACCAGAGTTGATGTATGTATTCACGGGTGATGAAGGAACGTAGTGTGTAGAGACAGAAGTTGATTTATGTATTCACGGGTGATGAAGGAATGTAGTGTGTAGAGACCAGAGTTGATGTATGTATTCACGGGTGATGAAGGAACGTAGTGTGTAGAGACCAGAGTTGATGTATGTATTCACGGGTGATGAAGGAACGTAGTGTGTAGAGACCAGAGTTGATTTATGTATTCACGGGTGATGAAGGAACGTAGTGTGTAGAGACCAGAGTTGATGTATGTATTCACGGGTGATGAAGGAACGTAGTGTGTAGAGACCAGAGTTGATGTATGTATTCACGGGTGATGAAGGAACGTAGTGTGTAGAGGCCAGAGTTGATGTATGTATTCACGGGTGATGAAGGAACGTAGTGTGTAGAGACAAGGGTTGATGTATGTATTCACGGGTGATGAAGGAACGTAGTGTATACGTAACTCACATCAGCCGTATATTCAGTGTGTTATAAAGCAGCCTGACCCCAACTCTGTGAATGTAATTACATGTGCTTTCCTGTTGTCAGGACGAACACTGTCATCCTGGTGGACAGCAATGGTCGGTGCGACTACATTGAACGATCCCTTGTGACTCCAGTGGACCAAGAAGATCCGCAAACAACTACCAAAACATTTTCTTTCCACATTGACCTGACCTCCATATAACATCCAGCATGTCTTGTAGTTTAAATATTTTGCTGACCTGAGTTAGCTCCCCTTAACCAGAATATTATGCAGAGCAATGTCAAATCCCAGATTTTGCCTGGTTTTGTTTTTCAGTTTGTCTTTACTATATCCCAGCTCATGGGTTTAACAAAATGGTAAACATCTAAGACCTGCATCACTTCAGGCTTTCCTCCCACATTAAGCTGACACTGTGATATAAATGGAATATTGTTTTATGTGGCATTGAACCAAACTCACTCACTCATTTTTGTTGGTGAAGAGGTATTGGTGTTGTTGGTGTTGGTTTGTTTGTTGTAGTTTCGTTTCATTTCATGTTGTTTAACGTCGCACTCAGCAATACACCAGCTTTATGACAGCATTCTGTAAATAATCGAGTTTGGACCAGACAATCCAGTGATTGATATCATGAACATCGATCCAATTGGGATACGATGACGTGCATCTACCAAGTCAGCGCACCTGATCCCCGATCCCAATAGTCGCCTCTTACGACAAGCATGGGTTGTTGAAGACCTATTCTACCCCGGATCTTCTGTTTGTGGTAGTGAGATGGGCATATTTAAAAGCTGTGCCCCAATCCTGTGTCATATTCATGAATCATGTCAATTTTTTTATCCCTGTTGTTTTGTTGAATATTTGGGTTGGCTGATAGGTGCATGTTTGCTGATACTTATAAGTGAAAATAAGCCATTCTGGCGATACTGAATATGCATAAAGTAAAGACAATGATTGCAAAGTGCATTTTCAAGAAATATCAATTTTGCTAGCGATAAACATAACGGTTGAGTTTTGATCACACAGTTACAATGCAGGTAAGGATCGGCAGTCTGGTGCCTGCAGGCGGTTTATGTTTAGCAGTGTGTCTGTCTCGAAGTCGGTCAATAGGGCCTTAAATACAAATCTGGAAAAAAAAATTCTTTCAGTTCGTGCTGGTAATGTATGGACGCTGCCATTCGGAGTCTGCTTTCTTAAACGATTCAGTTTAATTTCTTTTCCGCCTGGTACTTCCCGATTATATTCGTTTTCAAGATACAGTAAAGAGATATGCTTGTCTGAATGCTTTGCTCACTAGAATTTAGAAGCTTTGATGCGGATTAGAAACTTCCCCTGACGTGACCTCCTTCACACATAGCATCGATTTGTTAATGGGAGCAATGAGCAATCACATTTTCCACATTAATGTCTTGCTTGTATTAATTTCATGATTTACGGCATATGGAATCAGGAATGGTCTCGGATTCTTTCATGAATCTTTAGTTTTGTTACACATGTCAAATTTAAAGTATCTCTAGAGTCCGACGATATCTAACTCACTTTGTGTAAAGTTACAATTTATCTTGCTCCTGCTTGATGCGAGTGCACAGACATATATTTTGACATTTGACAACACAACTTGTCTCATGGGAATAATGATAATGTCTTGTCTTGTCTTTGTCTTTTCACTTCAGCTATCAAAAAAGCTAAAAACAGGAAAGAAGTCTAAGATATTGCAAGAAATCTTTTGTGCAGCAAGAAGCAAAGTCCATTACCCTCAGTCGGAACAGATCTTGACACTACAAAGTCTTTATTCAAGTCTTCGGCAACAAAATTGTGAAAATACATGAAACGCTAACACCAAACGTCTATATCAGTCCTCCCGTGTGAGAAAGGTAGAATGGATCTTCAGCAACCCATGCTTGTAAGAGACGACTGACAGATCCGGTTGTTAGCCTCGCTGAATTGGTGGATCAATGTTCATGATATCACTGGATTGTCTGGTCCGAACTCGATCATTTACAGACCGCTGTCATATATCTGGAATATTGCTGAGTGCAGCATAAAACAACAAACAAACAATAAAGAAGTTCCAACGACATCCACAAATTTTCTTCCTTATGTGTATCACTTCTAATTGCCTTTCAAAGACTTAATAAATAGATCCTAACTGACTAGGAATATAGACACACAGGATGCTTTGAATAACAGATGTGTAATACAGAACAAAAGTAAGATTTCTGACATGACAAGACCTTACTTTAGCTAAAGAGTAGAGATGTTGTTGATAGGTGATGAGAGCAAACGTCTCTTGATACCTAAAGAAGAATACAGTAAAATCCTAGGCGAGATCTTAGAAGCCACAGACACTTCCAAGAAGTCCTCTAACCAATACTATTTTCTGAAGGAATACGAAATTATTCAGTGTGGTGACGTGCAGAAACTAGTCAGAATTATCATATGATTTGTCAAATAGATATTTGTTTTATTTATAAACTCATAAATGTTGTTATATTGATACTAGAAAGAATAATACTTCTAAAAACCATGAATGAAACAGTTTCAGGGAATATGTCAAAGATACTTGTTGTTAAACCAGGGATATGTATAATACCTGCAATTTTAGGGATTATGAATATTTGCCGTGTGAATTAAATATATTCCCTGAAAAGTTCAGGTATGAAACATATTTTCCGATTTGACATATACCTTGTGACATATAAATTGTCAGTGCAATAGAATAACCAGGCCAGATTATCTGCCGAAACAAGAGTAAGAAAATGGCTGTAAGTTTTCTGAATGGACCACTGAAACATTAGTTATTTCTCGTGAAGAAGGTAAGCATGTCCTACCCTGGCGGTTGCATCCGGCATTCACACAATTTACATAAAAAAGTAAGTATCTATTGCTTGACCCCCACACAGCAGTACTCCGCCAGGCGACGGCGGCCTGCAAACAAACCAGACAATCAAATGATTGATGAACCAGAAAATCAAGTGATTTTGTTGAAACTAATAAGAACGACATGTCAACTCTGTGTACAAGTGCAGAGATCCTCTCCTTATGAGTATAGAACATGGAAATCATGTATGAAACCGGAACTCCTTCATGATATGAAGAACAGACGCAGGTGTTGTTCGCAGTTATAGCCAGTTATTTATTACTGATAAATTTCTTAAACCCTGAAACAATTGTAAAACATTCATTACACAAAATATAAACATATGCTGACATCAAATATTTCATTACATTTGATGATATATACAAAATGCTATATCTCCTAATTGATGAACTTAGATCTCATCAAGACTTAATTAACCCTAGATTATAAACCTACTTAACCCGCATATGTACTTATATATGTGTGTATCATATAAATAGAGTAAGATAGACGTGACATGATACATTTACTATCATGTGTACATACAATATACAATATATGAGAAATATATATAAAACCTAGTAAACCCACCAAGTGTGTGGACCTGGGTTCATCAGTTCAGACACAGACCTCTGCACGAGTAATACAGCTACATCTGCACCACAAATAAATGAATATATATACACACTGTGCAGACCAATCTGATAGCAGCAATATTACTACAAACCGATACATAGTGTTATTGCAGAGTAACTTAAAACATTTCTAAAATATAATAGTAAAACCCTCAACCATTCATACATCATACATCATACATTCATACATCACACATTCATATATACCAATATGTTACCTAGCAACACATATGTTTCACATTCTTACTTTCATACTTCATACGTTCATACATCAGCTTCACAGTGATTGAAGATTTAGTTAAATAGTATTTTAGGCCTAATCTTAGCGCTTACTGAATTATTTACATTACGCAAATAATAACACTTGTAATGCATACAGAAATACAACTAATTACTATGATCTGGCTAATATTTACAACATGACAAAAACAGCCAAATTATGAACAGCATAAACACAATATACCTACAAATCCTAGGAATACGTACAAACAATAAAATATCATCAAAAGACCAACCTTTAGATGTGAATTCCAAATCAATAAATCAAACACCACAATTAGTCCAAATTGTGAATTCCAAAATGTCCAATGATATACGTGTGTTTGACAGTAACATCAAATGTGATATAAACTGTAGTAAAAACTAAACCCTTTAAACTGGAGACCGTAAGCTAGAAAGTTAAACACAAAGGGGCTTTGAGGGGCACGCTTGGGCAGGCTATTGTGTGATAGTGCACTAGGTGATTGAGGCTGTGGCAAAGTACTCATGCAGTAAGCTGAAACAGAGAATTAGGAGAGCTGAAGTGTGAAGTATATAATGTTTAAAACATACTTGACTGAACATTTAATTCAGTAAAAATTTAAACTAATAAAACTCTGAAAATATATACAATTATCTGATCCTGTCACATACTCCCTTGAATAATGGCATCCTCGTCATTCTGGTTCTTCGTCAACTAGGGAAAGCAATGCCTTGGAGATGCTGGTGCTAATGTGTCCTAAAATGCCGGTCGCTGCCAATTGTTCCAGGCGCCGACTCCTCTGTTGCCAGTCTGGGTCAGAAGTCTGGCACATTACATAATCTCATGAGGTTTGCCAGGCAGGCTTCCTTGTAAATCTACCAGTTCTTCTTGGTGCAGGTATGGGTTGAGGATTAGCATCAGGTGGTGCAGGAGGAGGTAGCTCTTCTCTGACTGAGTCTTCCGGCTCCTCTTCAGTGTTTTCTGGTGGTTGCACTGCTTCAGGATCTGCTTCTGTGCTGCTGTCTTCTTCAGGTATGTGGTCGTCACCACCAGAAGCATCACCTGCTACTCCAAGAGACTGTAGATCGTCACCTGTTGTCTCTGAAGTAGCCGCACTCTCTTCCACAGTGTCTTCACTGATGATGGTAGCATCCTCAGCAACTGCTGGAAAATAGAATAGAGCATCATAGTCAGACTCTTTATCCTCCTGGATATCCTCTTCTATAGTCTTCTTCACTGTCTTTCTTGGTCTTGGAGTTGGCTTCTTGGCTGCTGGTACTCTGTTGTTATCCATGACCGCTGGTACTGATCCAATGGGCAGGAGATGGTTTCTATGCAATGTCCTCTTCCTCCCCTCACCAGATTCTCTCTGCACTACAAACACAGGGATATCCTGGTTTGGTTGCAAGAGAACATAAGGATCTTCCTCCCAGCGATCTGCCAACTTGTGTTTACCATCAAAGGCTAAGGTTTTCACCAGAACTCGATCACCTGTCTGTACAGTGGCCCCTCTAGTCTTCAAGTCGTAGCTGGCTTTCTGTTTGACTTGGGCAGTCTTTGATGCCTTTGATGCCAGGTCATAGGCTTCTTGGAGCTTCTTCTTCAGAGACTTTGCATAAGCTGTCAGAGACTGATGATTCTTGTTGGTCTCGATCCCAAAAGCAAGATCTACAGGCAGACGAGGTTCACGACCAAACATAAGGAAGAATGGAGACTGGTTTGTTGATTCATGCCGGATGCTG